ATTTGTTTTAGGCTAGGGCTAGAGTTTTCGCTGTGTTCTCTACAGTATATTTGGTCATCAGTTACAGTAGTTTGTCTACTGTTTAAACTGTTTTCTACTGTGTTTCTACTGTTCTACACTCAGATCTACCATTTAAAAATGTATGGCTTGATGTTAATGTCAATAAAGCGTCTAGACTCTAGACCTCTAGTTCAGTTGACAACAACAGCGTTGTACCATTGTGTGCTAGATCTATTATCTAGACTAAGGGTCAGCCCTTTTAAACACAACACCTCAGTGGGTAATAAGCATCCCCATTGACTGGCATTGAGTGAGAAAGAAAAGAGCGGCTACAGAAAAAGGAGGAAGAGGCAAAAAGAAGCATGAGGCACAGACGAGAAAAGCGAAAAACGACGAGAGCATGGAACTTAATTTTAAATTTTAAATCTATATTGATCTATAATCTAGATCTAGATCTATATCTAGACTTGGCTAGCTGTCTAAATATAAATAATACTTAGGCCTGGATCTAGAAAGTCTCATCTTCTAGATCTAGAATCTAAATCTGAATTAGAGTAAATTAGCCCTAAAATTTAAACAGTGTGTACCCTAGAAGAACTAATAAGCGTGTGCAGCCAGATTTTTTAAAGTTTTAGGCCTATAAATTGTTAAACATTTTTTTAAAATCATTAATCTGATGAAAAACATGGATGTTTATAGAAAATAGCTTCAAACTTTTTACTTGATTAAATAATTACCTAGATCTAGATCTATATCATGCAATGGTGTGATAGTACTACTAGATAATAGGCCTGAAGAGAGCGATGATTGAAGATACCGAATCCGATGTCTGATAATAGTAGACTCTTCTAAAAAATAGGTGTGTTAGGTTGTTTGTATAGGATTGAAATCTCGAATAGTTTTATGGTTGGAAATTAGGGTTAGGTTTAGGGATAGGGTTAGTATTGATATTAGCAAGCCAAGTGTATTTTTGTAACCTAACACTCCTTTTTATGAAGATTCTATTATCGGACACGTAGCCCTATAAAAAAAAAATCCCCCGAAGAGGGAACAATGTTCTTAAAAAAATATGAGAACTTGCACTGAATATAAACCTATGCTTAACTGGCACTTGGGTCAGCCCAACACTTTTGCAGATTAGGCTAGGCCTATCCTAAGTAGTAGGCCTACATGTTTGGTTATGAGTAAAAACAACAGTGCCACAAAAACATAACATGTAAAACGAATTATGGAGATGATCAGTTAAACACAGAAAGGAAGATGCACATCACAGACATTCGCCGCTTAGATCACATTCTAGATAAATCAATGGACTTTAAAACATATGTAAATTCATGCTATAGGGAAGGTAAATCAAGTAGCCGAGTTAAGAACATACAACACGTAGTGGCGTAGCGAGGTCGGGTGTCACCCGGTGCAGCACTTAATGGTGTCACCCCCCAGAGGCGCAGCGACCCTTCCCGGGGACAAACTTTCAAAATTTCGATTTGCACCCCTCCCCCTCAAACGTTCGAGTTGAATTTCCCCCCCCCCCCCCCCCTTTAAACTTTCGATTTGCACCCTCCCCTCAAGTTTTTCTCTATATATTTTGCTATTTTTTGCCTTGGTGTCACCCCCCCCCCCTAAATGGTGTCACCAGGTGCGGTCCGCATCCCCCCGACCCCCCCCCCCTCGCTACGCCTCTGCAACACGTGTACTAGTTTCTAGGAGTCAGCATGGAAACATTGGCACTACCAGGAAAAGTAAAATTAATACGGAAATATTATTGGAAAGATTTTTTTTTTAACGTGAAGGACAGAAAAGCATAGAATGATTTAATTAACATGGCCTAGCCTCAGGGAGCTGAGAGTTGAAAAAAAGACTTAAGACCTATTGACTGAATTAAATTATAATGTAGGCCTCCGTGTTCAATCACGCGTCGTCAATCATTAAATAATCGAATCGCAGGGAATTGTTTTAAATAAATGGTTGCCGTGAGAGTTATCTAATTGCCCACAAGGTCTGACTCACCCGCATGTTCCAGTCACATTGGTGCCCATCACATGAGTCCATCTTGATGGCCGTTTTCAAAAAGTGAATTAGGCTGCCGTAATTTCTTGTACCTCATCAGGAGGCCAATTAGAGTAATGAATGAGCTCTGTGGTTGACTCGCTCGACGTCTTGATTGCTCCTGCGCAATTACACGACACGTGACTTGTCACGGTCCACGGTGAGTTATGCTCACTTGACCTTGGCGTGTGTTTAAAAAAAAATAAAGTCGTCCGTGCAAAAAAAAAAAAAAACAAGTGTGGGTCAACGTCTAGACACTATTACCTGGCAAAAGGGGGCGGGTTGGCTGATGTGGCCGACATTGGGTGGGGGCTCAAGACAAACTGGGTTTAGAGGGGATAGGGGCAACAAAAATTTTCCACATTGCAGAATCTTTAAAAGCGTGAATTTTTTAATTCATTTCATTAGCTGTACTCACTACTTCGATTGAGTAAGATAACAAATCGTTTGATAAGAGTCTAAACATCCTGTTATTGATACCTTGGGAAGTTATTTTTAGACTGCCGGGCAATGACATAATAATAAACACGTCTATGAGAGGGGTAGGGGAGATATTTCGAGCCACTGTTTGTTTCCTGGTAGTAAGCAGAGTATCTTCCAGGCATCTCTTTTGGGGGAGGGGCGAAGAAAGTCTACCGCCCCCCCCCCCCCCCCGAACGAGATGGAATTTATATAGTAAACATACACTTTTACTAGTGCCCCCCTCCCCCCCGCCCCCGGAGAAAAAAAGTCTGGAAGAAATACTGGTAGTAAGCTAAAACTTGCAACTGTCAACGCAAACTGTGGTGGCGTAGATTGCAGGTGTAGGGTTGACACTGACAATGCACGTGACCAGACTTAACAGGTCTAGATGGAGACGATGCGCGTGTTAGAAGTAGATGGTATTTACGGAAGACGGCATGAATGGGGTAAGCTGTAGTTGCTATGAAGATATTTGAACGGGGATGACTGTTGTGGGAAAGTTTATTAACTGGGCCTGACATTTTTATCAAATATCACAGAACTGTGGCGACATGGATTAGGTCCAGCTTGGTGGGGAAGACAAAGAAGTTAAGACAGTGAGTCGAGGCTGGAAGGTAGAGCAGTAAAGAAAGACGGAATGCGAATCTTTAGGACGATAGTTAAAGTGACTAAACCAGACAGATATTGTGTTGTACGGAAAAGTATTGCTATAACATTAAGTATATAATTAATAAATGGTGTGTTATAAAGCATGGTAATAAGTCCTCGTCACATGTATAGGCTGAGAGAACTGTCGCAACAAGTTCAACCAAGGTCATCAACAATAACAACCCCGACACACTAACGGCTGTACACAACTTTCGAAACTATATTGTACATCAGCAAGGTACCCATCAGCGTTTAGGGACTCACTCGCGGGATTCGAACTCTAGACTTTTGAGTTAACAGTCTTACGCTTTACCATATCGACCACGCCGTCTCATAGCCATATCCAGTGCCGGTGCCAGCTTATTTAGCGACCTAGGCAAAACTTATCAAAACGCCAGCACCTTTAGAGCCAAAGATTTGCATTCCTCTGGAAGTCTCATTGCTAGCAAAAGGAGCACATTTTGGAAATGTAATCATTTTAAATTTTTTGTGCTATTCCCCTAGACCAGTGTTTCTTCCAGACTTTTTTTCTCTAGGGGGGGGGGGGGGGGGGGCACTTGAAATTTTCGGGGGGGGGGGGGGCTGTAGACTCTCTTCGGGAGGGGGGCGGACACTGTTAAAAGTATATATTTTCTATATAAATTATATAAATTTCATTTCGTTCGGGGGGGGGGGGGGGGCGAAGCCTGGAAGAAACTCTGCCCTAGACTTCTATTCTTTTCAATAATTTTGTCATGCACAAATTTGTGGAAAACCTCATACCAGTTGAGAGTCTTCTTCTTTTTAAACAACCTACAGGTCCAATTATTAACTCTAACACTCTAACAGTGTTTCTTTCAGATATATTTTCTCGAGATAAGGGGAGGGGTGGGGGAAGGTGGCAGTTGAACATTTCCATGAGGGGAGGGGGTGGACTGACTTAAATTTCCGGAGAGAGGAGACATGGTGCAGTAGAGTTCATCTGTTTCAATAACCTCGGCATATAAAGGGGACTGATACTAGTGTGGTCAGCACTATATGCCCAGTCGCCTTTGTTTCCCTAACGTTAGTCAGGTACCCACCAGAGCTGGGTGGACTCAAAGACGCCTTGAACTGAAATCTGTACTTGAGACCTTACGGGAAACAGTCAACAGCTCGACCATTCTCACCGATATTTGAAGTATATGTCGCGTATATATTAAGAATAAGTATTAAATTCTATGAAAGTGGAGCTTCTCAAGAATATAGACAGAAATCCGCGAAGATTGAACGTAGGCCCCATATTTACATGAATACATTATTCTCCCCTCCCTCCTCCCAGTGTTTCTTCCAGACCTTTTTTCTACGGGGGGGGGGGGAGGGGATTGGAAATTATCGGGGGAGGGGGTAGACTTTCTTCGGGGGGGGTGTACACCCTCCTTCGGAAAATGTTGTCCGCCCCCCCCCCCCCCCGGAGAAAAAAGTATGGAAGAAACACTGGACAGCTGATACTTCAAGGTCTACCCACCGAGACACTACACCGAAGATCCTTTATATGCCACTAGCCGCTGGGCTTCGAGCAGACATTTGATATTTCCGGGGGGGGGGGAGGCGCACTTAAAACTTAGGGCGGGGGACACTGGTCAAAGTAAGCGGTGTATTTTCTTGAATCTATATAAATATTATTTCAAGGGGTGGATGTACTCCGAAGGGCAGTGCCCCATTCCCCCCCCCCCCAAAGAGATGCCTAAAATCTAAAAGAAATGTTGGCCCCGCCTGATGGAGTTACAACGACAATTTTGAGAAAAATTAATTAAATACTGGGTTCCTAAGTAAGTGCGAAAATAATTTTAGTGCTCTTCTTATTCAAAGTTTACAAAAAAAAAATATCAGAATATCAACTAACTTTTAGGCTGAACATAAAAATATTAAATAAATATAAATATTGAATCCAATTTAATACTGTTAGTTACTAGACAACTTGTACTACTATACTAGATCTACGACTCAATTTGTGTCTGACTATATAGTGTATAGTTAGTAGGCTAGTATATACTAGATTCTAGTATAGTTAAGTATAGATAATCTCCGGTAATCTATCGTTTTTTTTAGGTACGTAAAAAGTAAAATAGCCGCGGGCGATTTTACGTACCCAAAACGATAGATTACCAGATAATCTTATCTAGATCTAGATCTATCTGTAGTCGGTAGTGAGTACTGAGTGTAATCAGTACTAGGCTAGTACTAGCACTAGAGTACTAGTTACTAGATCTAGCTAGTAGCTACTAAGCTAGATCTATGAACGCAGAACTGTCTATTTCGTGTTTCTTACTCACTACACTCTAGAGTAGGTACTAGGATATAATTTCAAAAATGGTTTGATTGCAAAACAATGACTGCAGGTAAAAGGAGCAAAAAATTAGAATCACAGAACAGTTTTCCTTTTTTATTTAGCTCTAACGGTTAAAAAGTTATGATTTTTTTTCCTATTAAAAAAGGTGCATTTTTTAACATAGGATTTTTTAAATTTCTGTGATAAAGATTTTTTTAGTGTGCACTAAAATGATCATAGCCTGTAAACTACATGGTAGAATTTGTTTAAACTTTCCAGTATCTTTTTTTATCATATATGGAAGCATAATAAACCAAAAAATAAGATATTTATGGGTAGAATTTTTGAACAACAAAAGTTAAACATGGTACCCCCCTATTTTTGAACACGCAGTGATTTCATACAAACACAGTTTAAATTTTAACTATTAGAAATATTAAGCTCAAAATCACTCAGAATGAGTAACTATGGGTGTGTCAATGAATAATATCAAAATATTGATCATAGCATGAAAGATTTGTGTATATCATGATGCAAAGCTGATAAATCATGCGATTCTACAAAACCGAAGTCTGGTTTATGTGAAATACAAAATTATGGCAAATTTAAACTACTGAGCATTTAAGTTCCAAAATTTGCTTAACTTAAGATAATTCTATACTACAAAAGAAATAATCAAAATACTGGTTGTGACTCCATCTGTTTTCCAGAAATATATGGTTGAAGAAGGTACCCCCCCTTTTAAAAAACCAAAACTTTTCGCACAATCTGAGTGTGAGTTCTATCTATTTATTAAAAATATCAAGCACGGAGCTTGCTTGAATGAAGTTCTAAAAGTGTGTCTATTAAGTATTAATACTAACTAAATAATTAGCATCATGGTATGTTTTTCTTTTCATTGAACTGAAGAATTGATACAACTCACATTGTAATTATGTAAATGATTATCATTGTCCCAAAAGTGAAAATAAATATGTTGATGTTACATTGATGGCAAATCCTTTAACTTTGTTTAAGACCCTTAGTCTGATTCAGTGATTGTAATTAAATGAAGGGATGACATGGTCAGATGATAGAACGCCCAAATGTTAACCTTAAGCCTCAAGTTTGGATTCAGGACTGAGGTTGATAGGACATCCCCGAGTCCACCCAGCTGTAATGAGTACCTGATATTCTATGGAAATTGAAGACAGCTGGGCATAGTCATAACCACACTACTTTTAAATGAAGATTTAGTTTAATTTTGTTTATGATAATGTTTCTGATTTATACCAAGATATTTTGTATTTCTAAAGAACATTTGTCATTTTGAAAAGAAATAATTTTTTCTTCACTGCTGGCTCAAATACTGTCCCTTGCTGAGCCTCATTTATTTTTATTTTAATCTCAATGAATATGCTTGTAGTAAAAATAAACTGCAGTTTTATTAGAGTAAAAAAATAATGATGAACAATTTATATATAGGAGTACACCAAAGAACTTTATTCTTTATTATAATTTATATAGTTCTACATATGGTTTCTGCTCTGTTTTAGAAGTGCATATTCTGTCTGGAATATAAAACATACTTCATTAGCATGACAATAAATAAAATATAACTAGAAAATAAAAACACATATGTAAAGCAAAATAAAAAGGTAGGTAAGTACAAAAATTGTTTGCTAAAATTATCCTCATTCATAAAAAAAAATACCCCGACAGGGCAATATTAAAGGTCCTGAAAAATCGATCCCGTTAAAAATAAATGGCCTTGTAATATAAGGCTCCCTTAAAAATATCCCACCACAAAATGCTACTGTCCATATGCCATGTGACAAAACTCCCGACATTGAAATCTCCGACAAACCCGACACTGAAATCCCCGACAAAACCGACACTGAAATCCCCGACAAAACCGACACTGAAATCCTCGACAAAACCGACACTGAAATCCCCGACAAAGCCGACACTGAAATCCCCGACAAAACCGACACTGATATCCCCGACAAAACCGAGATTGATATCCCCGACAAAACCGACACTGAAATCCCCGACAAAACCGACACTGAAATCCCCGACAAAACCGACATTGAAATCCCCGACAAAACCGCTCATCAATAAGGCACGTGGCTAAGCGCTCGCGTCATTAACGCTCACGGTAAAACAGCTTTGTCGCCCAGGCTACAGTGATAACACCAAAAAAGCACGGCGCTACAAAGTTTACATTCAAACACAAGTGGTGAGAAACTTAAAAATGTAGTAAAGTCTTTGTACCTATCAGGGGGGGGGGGGATTGTCCATAAATGACGTCACCAATTTGTATCACCCACCGATGCTTACTAAGTTACATTTACTCAACCCTCACGCACGTAGCACATCAGAAAAAGCCAAAACTTGACCTCACTTTCACCCGTAATTCTGTGACGTCAAATAGGACGGTCATTGACTGTTTCCCGGTGAACACAGTTTAAAAAAATAAAACACGCTAGGGCCTATACGATTTGTATATAATAAAAAAACCTACAATAAGTTAACAAATTACGATGTTCCAAATATTAAATTAAAAAAAAACAACAGTCAAAGTTGATACGCATATCTTGCCCACAATCTAATAAATAATTTCCTAGTAAATGGCCGTCTTTAAACATGATTAAGCTTATCACCGTATGACGTCATACAATTAGTCAAGCCCCCTCCCCTCCCCCACTCTCTCCCCATCCACAACACAGTAGACTGTAGACCCTACACATCACATAATCATACCCCTCTCGTGTAAGCGTAAAGTATTAAGAAATAAAGAGACCCGACTCCTTCCGGTTTTTTACTTTCGCTTTCTAAGTAAGCACAAGACAGCGCTAAACCATACACCCCACGGGGCAGCATATAACTTCTATGAGCTGCATCCAAACACTTTCAAATTTCAGTATGATAGAGGAAAATGGTGTAGGGACTCTAGCAATCAATAAAAAAAGACATGCGTCCAGTAGTTAATTTTAAAAAATAAATCAAACTTACCTTATTTTCAATGAAAAACTCCATTTTGAATAATCCATGAAAATAAAAACAAAAGACAAAAAGCCAGGCAAAGTCCATTTTTAAGTAGAAAAACAATTTCCACATTAAATTTGACCGTTCAATAACGGAGTGGAAAAAAATTTACTAAACCGTCGAATTCGCGTAGCCGCACACGCAAACCGCTCGGTAACGGGAGAAAAAATACGCCGTTCAGCGAGAATCGGGAGGCCAATCCTAGTACCTACTCTAGAGTCTAGACTCTATATTCTATATTTAGTAATTTACTATTAACTTATTAAACTCAAGTTTAACTGTCAACTGTGTAGTCAAATGTAGTGTAGTGTAAGTGTAGTCTGACTGTGAGGTTCAGTGAGCAGTTATGTTACTGACTCAGACTGTTTTTTTTTTATCATTTTTATTAAATTAATTCCTCCAGTCTCTTGATGTCTGTGTTGGTCTTTTGGAGGAAGAACCAATAACATACCAACAACTTAACAAGTGTAACATAATCACATGTCAACAAACTAGACGTCTGACATGTCATTAAAACGGGTAAGAAATCAATAAAATAAAAACGTATGTAGTAGGGCCTAATAATAATCCAAAATGATATGAATGATAATTTATTAAATGAGTAATAATGTAGGAATGTTGTTTAATAAATATGAAATATGATTCATCAATATGTTTTAATCAACTTTATCTACATTTTTTGTGGGATGATTTAGCCTAGTGGTAAAGCTGACCCAAAAGAATGAGTTTAAATCCAGGTTCAAGACAATATAATGTCCCTGAGTCCACCCAATTCTGATGGGTATCTAACTTGCGTTAGGGAAAGAAAAGGCAGCTACTGAGCTAGGCATAATGCTGAACACTCTACTTTAGGTTTTTTACATGCACTTTTTGCTATATATGTGTCTCTATTACACACCTCAAACCTGCTTTTTATCATCAAGCTGCCTACAACTCAAGACCACACAAGCATAGTTGTGTCTAGACAATTAAAGCTTTACACATGCTGTTAAATAGCTAATTTTAACTTCGTTATTTTTTATTACTAGATTTTAAAAAATAGATCAAGATCTATATCATTTTAGGTTTTGAAACACATTTATGTAGGCTTGCAATGGGTTACACAATCTATCAGGGTCTTGATCTAATAGTTTTTTTTTTTCAAATGTTATAAAATGTCCTTGATATGTTTTAAAAACCTTGAAATATTGTGCTTGAGAAACCTTTGCTGTCATTGCCCCCTATCACTCTCACACACTTGTAAAAATAAAATATTCCACTTTTTTCTTTGGTGTTGGTTACATCTCTTCCTGTGAAAACCCATGGTGACATGTAACTTTGTGAGAAAGATACATGATTCTCAACCATGATTCAAATTTGCCTGGGTATTGAACATAGCTTAACCCATTAGAGACTATATACCATAAAGAAAATTATACAAAAGAAGAAGTTCAAACATTAAATATAATATACTTTGTAATTATTTTCTCACCTTTAAATTATAAAACTAATGTAACTGGTTTATTCAAAAAATTTAAAATTGTTTCTTTATATAGAGTGCAACAGCAGATAAGGAAGATGATGAAATATCTACTGACGATGAAGACTACACACCATATATCCCTATCAAACAGAGAAAGAAAATGGAAGTAAGTACTAGTTTAGCACACCACTATTTTCCCAGTGTTTATAGATAGATAAAAACACAGTAAAGTTATGTGAATATTTCATTTAACAATGTCAACCTAAAAAATGTTGATGCTGTATGCAAAAGACAAGATAGTTGTTAATTATTTACCAATTTAAGTTTACGCTCTTAATCATTTTTTGCAAAACACTCATTCAATTTATTTTCTCTGGATTCTTATGTTTTAGAGCACGGGTTCCCAACCTGGGGGTCGCGACCCCCCTGGGGGTCGCAAAGGTCTTTCTGGGGGGTCGCCAACTGGTATACTAAACCTTAGTAATTTGAAACAAAACATAAATATTTAGAAGAATTTTTTAAATTCGGCTTCATTAACATCACTGGAAATGTAATAGAGAAGAAACAAAGCGCACTGTACAAAGTTGTTCTCAGTCACGAATCTATGAAATCTTCAAAACTAATACTCATTTGAGACGAGTCATTCGGAACACACCAAAAAATATATGGAGTTCTTTCGTCGTTATGAAGCTAGTTGCAAACGCCAGAGACTTGATCGAACAGGAAGTTTTCACCAGGATTAGTGCAAGCATCACATGAAGTCGCGATAGAAAATGCTAAGCAAAAAAAAAAAAAAACAATAGAAGAAAATCTCATCAAACGCTGCATGTACGTAAATGTTAAATAACACATTTTTATTGAAATTAAGCTTTCACAATTGTTTGCTTTTCAAGTTGATAAATCAACAGACGTGAGTTCGTGTTCGCAGTTGCTGGTCTGTGTCTATATTCATGCGGATGATAGCAAAGAAGAGTTGCTCTTTTGTGAAGATAGCATGGAGAAAATAAATACTTTTTTTTAAAAACTGGATTATTAAAATGGGTTAGAACGGCTGTGGGGTTTGTACGGATGGCGCGCCATCTATGTTTAGCTCAAAATCGGGCTTTCAGAAAACAGAAAAGATTTAGCTCCCTAACCACTGCCCTAACCAATCGACATCAAGAGTCCATTGCTAGTATAAGTCGTAAATTATATAAAATCTGGAACCTTCAAAGAACTGAGCAAAAACATTAATATAGATCACGAGGTTCTGCTCTTCTACACTACAGTACGCTGCAAAAATGTTGTTAATTGTGTTTTTGAATTGAAATCTGAAATCAAATTGTTCTTGGAAGTGCAAAGTAAATAAGACTTTTTGGTATACTTAAAACGACATAGAGTGGTTGGAGAGAGTATCATACCTAGCAGATGTGTTCGAACATCAAGATAAGCTTAACCTGAAGCTTCAGGGAAAATGAACGAATATTATAACTTTCCATGATAATCTCGGGGCAATTTTATCAAAACTGCAAAATCGGTAAAGAAAATAAATCTTGGAAATATTGTAAATTTGAGAAACTCTGCGGTGTGGTAGATGAATCTGATTGTGAGATAATTAAAATTTTGAAAGAAGCGATTTCTGGGCATCTTGAATCTCTTGAAAACGAACTGCATCGCTATTTCTCTGAGCTGAAAAAAGAAGAATCTGCATTTATGCATTACCCATTCTCTTCTTCCTTTGATGTTGCCAGCATCCCCGATGAATTACAAGATGAATTCTTTGATTTGCAGAATGATTCAGAGTAAGATGAAAAACTGCAGACAAAATTTTGGTGTAGTATTCACCATTCATACCCAAACGTAAAATTGATTGACTTTTCGAGAATATATTTTCAACACCATTCTTCGATTAAAAACAAAATTAAGATAATTATAATGACATAGGTTGGCGTTATCATAAAAAAATTAATTAAAAAGTTAACCACGAAGGTTTAGTGAATAGTATGCAATTTTACTCATGCTATTAAAACAGTTATCAAGAGTAGTTCATATTGAAAGTCTACTAGAAAATCTTATTTTAGTGCTTATTAATTTCCATACTAATTTCGGCTTTTTAATTCTATGGGGGTCGCGGGTCACTTACTTTTTATAAAAGGGGGTCGCCACTCGAAAAAGGTTGGGAACCACTGTTTTAGAGTACACAATTAATTCTGAATAGATTAAAAAAAGGTGTGTTGCACAACAACAAACAATAAAAAAGTAAAAATGTAATTCTTGCTTAATTTGTATTAGATTTTAATTTTAGTAGAAAAGTAAATAGTAAAAAATCTGTTAAATAATTTGTCCTTTAGTTTCGTCAATTAATAAATAGGCAGTAATTTTTTTATCAAAAAAATATTTTTACACCTTTTTCATTAAATTTACTGCAGCTGCTGAAAATAAAGAAAAAATTAGGACATGTTGCAGCAATTAAAGGAGAAGATCTGTTAAAGGCAGACAGTAGTGGAAATGAAGAAGAAAAAGAACCTGTCAAAAAATTAATTATGGATGACTCAGAAAATGAGGACAACAGAGATGTTGCTTCTAATGAAGAAAATGAAATTTCAGAGCAAGATTTGGGTCCTTTGGCACAAGTGAGCCTTCTGGATCAACACAGTGTTTTAAAAAAGAAAGCTGAAGGTACTATGAATTTCTTGTGTTTTAGTTGCTTTCCCAATTTATTGGACCTATGGCAATGGTTTTCCAATAAATTGGCAGGTTCACATAAGCAGTGAATTTTCATGTTGTATCTTTTCATGTCACTCCTAAGGAAAGCTTTGCCACTTTCTAGAGGATGGATATTCCAGGTCCTGTTTCTGATTTTTGCTGTTGCCATCAAATCTCTTGACATACTAGCTTCCCACAGGCTTTTACTAATTCACATCATGTGACCTACTAGAGAGGAATGACCTCTAACTTCCCAAGCTTTTGTTGGTTTAGTGTACGTTTTTTAGCTGTTAGTTATTTTAGAGGGAAGAGGTGCTAACCCTACATGTAATCCTCCTTTTTTTAGCCTTGATATAATTCATTATACTTGTAAAAATGTATAATTTATTATATAGTTTCGCTGTCTGTGTATGTATCTATCTATCTGACAAGAACGCTCTGTCTGACAAGAACGCTCTAGAGAAAACATAAGAAAAAATTCTATCTGACAAGAACGCTCTAGAGAAAAGACAAGCAATTTAAAAACATGCATAGTAATTCGAAAAACGAAGTATGACGTCGACACATTTAGCGCACAGAGTAGAAAATAATCTCACAGTAATATAATGACGTCATTGATTCTGGCGTAAATATTGAATAAAGAGGAAATGTTGTCTAATCTAAGTGGTTTGCGTGAAGAGTTTCTTGCATACAATTCTTCGGGTAGGGGCGAAGCCCCACCCCCCGCGTAAGAACGTCTGAGCCCCTCCCCAACTCAAAAGAAATTTCCTCATCGATACTCTATAATAAAATTACCGCCTAATTAATGTGTCTAATCTAAAAAGTGGTTTTCTTGCAATGGGACGGTAGACATGTTTTTTTTTTTTTTGGGGGGGGGGGGGGGGGTGGAGGGGTTGGGGGGGGTGTGTGGGGGGGTGGTGTGGGGGGGTGTGTGGGGGGGTGGGTTGGTTTCAGTGTTTCTTTCAGACTTTTTCCTCCCCGGAGAGGGGTGGGGGTACTTGAAATTTTCGGGGGCGGGGGTAGAATTTTCTGGGAGGGGGCGGACACTGGAAAAAGTATATAATTATATTTCGTTGAATGGGACGGTAGACATGTTTTTTTGGGGGGTGGGGGGTGGTGGAGGGATGGGGGGTGGTGGGGGGTGGTGTGTGGGGGGGGGGGGGTGGGGGTGGGGGGTGGGTTGGTTTCAGTGTTTCTTTCAGACTTTTTCCTCCCCGGAGAGGGGTGGGGGTACTTGAAATTTTCGGGGGCGGGGGTAGAATTTTCTGGGAGGGGGCGGACACTGGAAAAAGTATATAATTATATTTCGTTGAATGGGACGGTAGACATGTTTTTTTTGGGGGTGGGGGGTGGTGGAGGGATGGGGGGTGGTGGGGGGTGGTGTGGGGGGGGGGGGTGGGGGGTGGGGGGGGGGGTGGGTTGGTTTCAGTGTTTCTTTCAGACTTTTTCCTCCCCGGAGAGGGGTGGGGGTACTTGAAATTTTTGGGGGCGGGGGTAGAATTTTCTGGGAGGGGGCGGACACTGGAAAAAGTATATAATTATATTTCGTTGAATGGGACGGTAGACATGTTTTTTTTTGGGGGGGGGTGGGGGGTGGGGGGCGGTGTGTGGAGGGGGTGGTGTGTGGGGGTGAGGGGTGGGGGTGGGGTGGTGTGTGGTGGGGGGTGGGGGTGGTGTGTGGGGGTGGGGTGGGGGTGGTGTGTGGGGGGGGGGGGGTGGGTTGGTTTTAGTTTAGAGAAAAGAGACAGCACTATCAGCCTAGCGCCCGTTGTACCCTTCCTCAACGGGCCATTTTTCTCGTTTATTATATGTTTGTCAACCAATTTTGTGTTTAAAATTGTACTATTCTGTTGTGCTATTACTTCTTTTGTAAATGGTTATAAGAAATTTAATTTTGAAAAAGGAGTCTTTAACTTTTAATTAACTTGTTCTATATTAACTTTCATTTTACTAGCTCGTAAAGAAACCGACAGGGAGAAAATTTTGAAGGAAGAGGAGAAGATCTTAGAAAGTGTCGCAGAAAAAACAGGTGAGCTGTGGAAGCCATAATACTTAATTTAAAGCTTTGTAAAATGTAAAGTGTAATTTATATTTACATTTTAAAATTTCAGCTTTGATGGGTGTGGCTGAGTTGGCAAAAGGTATTGAATACACAGAACCTATTAAAACAGGGTAACTATATATTCATTATAGAAGTGGCATGTAAAATGCATAAATATGCCATGTTTTTGTAGTTGTATAGCTGTTTTTGAGTTGTTTTATCTCAGATGTGTTGATTATAATTAAATGTCTTATACACTCTTAAAATGTAGTGATTCTTACTTAAAAGTTACCTAGAAAATAAACAATAATTTTATTTTGCTATGTCAGGTGGAGACCACCCAGATTTGTCTTGGAACAGCCTCTTGAGAAATGGGAAAAGCTTAGGAAAAAACACCACATACTTGTTGAAGGGGATGATTTACCTCCCCCTATCACATCATTTAAAGCCATGAAATTTCCTCAGCCAATTATTGATGTACTCAAGAAAAAAGGCATTGTAACTCCAACTCCTATTCAAATTCAAGGCATTCCAACTGTGTGAGTCAAGTGTTTGTGTTTATAATATTATTGTTTTAATTTTTTTTAAGATTTACAATTTGCTTGAAGAATTTGCATTGACAATGTTTTTTTAATTCAATAACTCAGACGGCTTTCTTAACAAGATACTTTGTATTACAATTTCAGGTTAAGTGGTCGAGACATGATAGGTATAGCATTCACAGGATCAGGAAAAACATTAGTCTTTACCCTGCCTATTATAATGTTTTGTGTAGAGCAAGAGAAGAAGCTGCCTTTCATGAAAAGGGAGGGACCATATGGGCTCATTATTTGCCCTTCAGTAAGATTATAGTAAAAGATAAATATTTCTTTTGAAAGTTACTATTTCAAACTTGGCGTGCCATCGGGTATATGAAGTAGAGTTCACCTGTTTCTCTGACCCAAGCTGCCTTTACTTTCCGTAATGGAGCTGTATTGACTCACAGGCCTCTACAGAATTAAGCTCGGGATCCAAACTGCCGATAGTTGGGTTAGCACTAAAATGCTGGATTGTGGGGAAATATTTCTTAAGCACAGTGTATTTTTTTAACAGATTTTTATGAATCACTGTTAACTGATTAAATAATTTGACTATCGTTATCAGAGATATTATGTGTGATACAACTTTCAATTTTTAAAAAATTGAAAATTATAGAAATTCCTATACTGTGTTCTTAAAAATAAATGATTTATTAGGCCTAAAAAAATATTTCAAAGTACACCATAATTTACAATGCTCAAAGATTAACTTTTTTTGGGGGGATATAAAAGGGAAATCCATCAAATAAATTTTTTTTTTTTTTTTAGCGTGAGCTGGCGAAACAAACTTTTGAAATCATCAAATTATTTGGAGACTGTTTATCATCAGCTGGGTACCCAGCTCTTCGTCCTGTACTGTGCATTGGTGGAATGCCTGTTAAAGAACAAATGGATACAATCAACAGGTAAAAAAAAAAATTAGCCTTAAATTTGCCTTTGATTTTATTATATTAAAAAGAAAAGAAAAAACAATTTTGTATAGAAACTAAAGAAAATAACCTAGTACTTATTGGCAGTTAAAATTTGCTAATTGCCATTGAATAAAACTAATTATTGATTGAATGTTATGAAATATTAGATCAAATTTTTTGTTTTCCTTTGCAAGTAGTTATAATAGACTAGATAATATTATGAAATAATTTTTATAAATTTATTTTAGTTATGAAACACTAGCTTATTACTGGTTTCATTTAAACTTATTTTGCCTTTTTTAAAGAGGTACACACATAATGGTAGCCACACCAGGTCGTCTAATGGACATGCTAGACAAGAAAATGGTCACACTTGATGTGTGTAGGTATCTGTGTATGGATGAAGCTGATCGCATGATTGACATGGGGTTTGAAGAAGATGTCAGGACCATTTTTTCATATTTTAAGGTAGCCTTCTTAGACTTAGACCCACATTTTTTATTACATTACTTACTACAATAACTAGGGAATTTTTAAAAAATATACCTTTATAACTGCTGACTTTTCTTTTCTTCAGGGACAAAGACAGACTTTGTTGTTCTCTGCTACAATGCCCAAAAAAATCCAAAACTTTGCTCGCAGTGCTTTAGTGAAGCCAGTGACTGTTAATGTGGGCCGCGCTGGTGCAGCTAGTCAAGAGATTACACAGGAAGTTGAATATGTCAAACAGGAAGCAAAGATGGTTTATATTTTGCAATGTCTCCGCAAAACAGCTCCACCAGTATGGCTCATTTTAAATTACCACATATCATTAACACAATTATTTTGTTTTGGTTTTGGAGTTGTAGTCGTGGGGAATGTCTTGTAGTTAAAGTGATAAATCAGCATCACTGAGAAGTTTATTTTTTATGATCAACACTATTTGAATTTATAAAAAAAAATCCTTTTTAAATTTGAAATTATAGTATAAACTAATACTTAGCATGTTTAATATTTTAAAGTTATTTCCATTTGAGTAAATTTTAATTCTTTGATATAGAATTGATTTTTTAATGTGATATTTCCATTTTCCAGGTGCTTATATTTGCAGAGAAAAAGCAAGATGTTGATGCCATTCATGAATATTTATTGTTAAAAGGTGTAGAAGCTGTTGCTATTCATGGTGGAAAAGGTAACTAAGTTTTTCATATTCTCAAGCTTACTGCTTTGTAATTTAGCATTATTTTATTTTATTTAACTTTTACATTACTTATAACATAGCAATTAAATTATATTAGAGCTACCACTTTCAGATTGTGACACAAACGTTTCTTATCTATTGAAGGGACTGCATAAAAAATTTAAACTTTTAATTTCCCCATTCTTTGACTTAAATACAAAAATCTTAATATATAAAATCCCCTGTGCGCACCTCTCTCTCTCTCTTTCTCTCTCTATCTGCAACATTTTTGAGGCTAAGTGATCAGTATGTTCAGCGATATACAGAGAACTTTAAGATACAAACTTTTGTTGAAAATTATGTTAGATATTTTAAATGTATAAACTAAATTTTATTTAAAGAAAGAAAATTTAAAAAAAAAGGCATATTCGAATGTAGAAACACTTTAAATATGCAATCGGAAAAGTGTTTATTGTTGTTAAAAGAATGCTAAAAACAATGACATCACATGTCACATATTTAAACTATGGAAAGTACACAAAACTAATGGCATCATCTTCCAATTTTAGAATATGAAGAAAATGAACACTTTCATTCAAGTTTGATTTAGATCTATAGATCTACTTATCAAGACGTACACTATGAAATGTATACAATTTTCATCGTAATACAATTTACTTTAAAAAACTACATAAATGCCATTGAACAGCCGTGTTTTTAACGGATTCTTTTAAGTTTCTTAATCAGTATGTGCATTTAATAAGGTGTTGTGTTGACTAATAATGTATATAATTTAATTTTTCTAATAGTTATTGGTAGCCTATGTTATTTTAAATGTGTTGGATTTTTAATTATTTAGTTATTTCTTTGCTTTGTCACTAATAGCCTTCAACAGTAAAGCTCATTGTGTTTTGACCAATAACTATTTTATAAAATTTTAAAATATTTTTCTCAAACAAGCATAACTGTAAAATTTATAGGCATTTAAATCACGTGCAATGAGTACCAACGGCTAGTAAATAAAGAAAACCTTTGAATAATAGTAAAGTTCCTTTAAACTAAACTATTTTTAAAGCTATTTGAAAATAAAATAATAATTACTAATTATTAAGGGGGAAGGCTCCGGTAAAAAAAACTTTTTTAATACTCGTTAGAAAACAGTTATTTCTTTACAGCTTTATTAAGATACACCCGCATATGCATTTCCACTAAAAAAAATTTTTGAAAAAATCTTGGTAACTATGACAACGGCGGCCATCTTGAAAAATTAACCCCTTCGTAGGTTTTCCACCATTCACAAAATATTACATTTTAAGCCCAATAAACAATCAATTCATAATCTTCTTCCATATTTTGGGGTAATCAGCTAAAAATTTTAAGTGCATATCTTCAAATTAATTTTTTATGAATTTTCAAAATTTGTGTCCGTTCAAAACACTAGTTTTAATGCCCCAAAATTCCCCAAAGTTAAGTGTTTTGAACGGACACAAATTTTGAAAATTCTTAAAAAATTAATTTGAAGATATGCACTTAAAATTTTTAGCTGATTACCCCAAAATATGGAAGAAGATTATGAATTGATTATTTATTGGACTTAAAATGTAATATTTTGTGAATGGTGGAAAACCTACGAAGGGGTTAATTTTTCAAGATGGCCGCCGTTGTCATAGTTACCAAGATTTAAAAAAATATAATTTTTAGTGGAAATGCATATGCGGGTGTATCTTAATAAAGCTGTAAAGAAATAACTGTTTTCTAACGAGTATTAAAAAAGTTTTTTTTACCGGAGCCTTCCCCCTTAATAGTTGACTCATGGCTGTTGTAAACAATGCAAAAGCATCACAGATAAACAATGCAGTTCTTTAATGAGTTGGGTTTGCATATTCTGTGGCACAGCAGGGGTATTTAAAGGTGTTGTAAAGTTATTTTTAACACTGTTATTGAATAGTTCAAGAGGTTATTTTGTACAAAGCATTAATGAGAAAATGCAAACAGTTTGTACCTAAGATCTTCTATGGTTATATAGATTTTGTCATGTTCATCTGTATATTGCTTTGACTTGGCTTAAATTTATTTGTGTAATGAATAATAATAATAATTTAATTATATACATATATATATATATATATATATATATATATATATATATATATATATATATATATATATATATATATAGTATTTTTTTAAAGTATGGAATTTATTTTATAAGATCAAGAAGAAAGAAGCAGATCTGTTGAAGAGTTTAAAAGAGGGGAAAAAGATGTGCTAGTTGCTACAGATGTTGCTAGTAAAGGTTTAGACTTTGAAGGAATTCAACATGTAATCAACTATGACATGCCAGAAGACATTGAAAACTATGGTATTTACTTTTCTTGATTAGAACTGCCTTAAGAAATTATATTATTTGATTTTTTATTTAAACCTTATGATTGCTGTTTAAGTGAAAACATAAATTTAAATTTCACCAGTCCATCGAATTGGAAGAACAGGAAGAAAAGGCCAATGGGGTGTTGCTACAACATTTGTGAACAAGTCAGTTGGTAAGTTTATACTTGAGCACATGATTAGACATAGTGTGGTTTTTTGGTTAGTTTCCTGATGAACACCCTTAACATGTTAATTATTGTAAATGACAAGATAATTTGAAGTGATGCAGACAAAAGAATGTAGTTTCCAGTCATAAGTTTTTCTTTTGGAATTGAGTGTGCAGGCTAGCATCTACTGATTTTTTTTTTAAAATGTGGACTTACCTAAGAGCATGTTATATAAAAATACTAGTATACTAAAGTAAAATGCCACTATGGTATCTAAATCTGGAAAAAGCCTTGCTTTATTTGTCTTTTAAATTTTTTAGATGAATCTATATTGCTGGATTTAAAGCATTTACTAATTGAAGCCAATCAGAAGGTTCCAGCTTTCTTAGCAACAATGGAATCAGAAACAGAAAAATACTTGGATATTTCAGGTAATATTTTAAAAATTTCATTCAGATTAAACTAAACCCATTAAGATGTAGAAGTTCTAAAAGATGCTATATTTTATAAAAACAAAGGTCTTTTGATATTTTTTTTCACCATTCTATTTTTAAAATCTTATAGTTGAATCTGCCTAATCATTTCACTGCAGTTGGGGCTTAGCAAGCCACTGAAGAAGCTGACTTTTTTTTCCTTTTCTCTGCAAAGCATATATTTAAAATAAATCGACAGACAAGTTAAATAATTCAAATTCATTGCCAAATTTACATACCTAACAGAATTAGATGATAGACTCCTTTCACACAGTGATGAGATTTTAAGTAATTTTGATTAATACATTTGGAGATTAATACTTATATTTATTCTCTTCCATGGTTTTAAAAAAAAAAGCACTATTACGCTCAGAAGTAATATAGTAAGAAAAGCATGTCATGCTAAATAGATTTGGCCTCATCATTTAAGCATATTTCTCAATGTTCATCATCCCAGCTATGTACTAAATTGTTATCTGCAGGTGAAGTTGGTTGTTCCTACTGTGGTGGTCTTGGCCATAGAATTGCTGACTGTCCTAAACTTCAAGCAATGCAAACCAAACAAGCCCAGGGTATTGGACGCAAAGATTACCTGGCCCATAACAGTGCAGATTGGTAATGGCATAAAAAACGTTCTGATTTACCAAATAAAATAATTAAAGAAAATCCTAGCTTCAGTTCAGTAAGATTTTATTATATCATTAATTTTGTTGGATCAACAATAAACCAAAAGTACACATGACGATATAAATACACTGAAGACAGATAAAATAATTTAACTCTTTTTTAAGAAATTTAGTTACAAAACCAGATTTTTCAAGGTGTTTCACCAAGCTTTATGGAATGTAGTTAACTATGCAGATCACTACAAAATGCATCTTTTAAAATACCCCCATAAACAAACGTGATTTTTTTTTTAGAAAAGAAACTGCAGTTAGGCTAGACATGATTTTTAAAGAAGTACTTTGACAGTGCTAAAGAAAAGGGAGAAGTACTTTGATGGCAATTAATGGAGAGTGGTGAATTAAATAAGAACCCACCTGGCATTTCGTTTAGTATTTATCACAGAGTATTTATTTAACACACCACTTTCACATGATTGCTTAAGTGATTACATTATGGAAACCTACTAGACAAATTTTAGCCTTTGTAAAATATTACAAATTAGCCCCTGTAAAAACATTACTAGTCATGAATTAAATGTGATTAAGACAACAAATAAAAAAACATCAAAAGAAACTTACAGATAGTGGTAAAACTTTTTATAAGTTCTGTAACCGGAATTATGACAGTTTTCAAGATGTACAGAAATTTCCTCAACATGACATACAGTGCACACACAATAACAATTACTATTTAATCACTTATTCCTATGTACATTTAAATACCACTCTACAGTATGCATTGTTGAAGTTTAACAGTCTTGAGAAAATGAATTTGCTCATTTAAAAATACATTGAGAATTTACAATACAAGCTGCATATTTATTTAAACAATATATCTTGACATTACCACTGTATCAGAACCTAAGATCTTGCTTGTAAAAAATAAGTTAAAAGATCTCAACATATTTGTAGATCTTAACAGACCATTTTTTTAAATACAACATCTTCAAATTATTCCAGTTCAAAATTTGAACTTTATTTAAAACAATAGTTAACATTTTTTTAAAATCTGAGATTACTGAACATTCAATTGTTTTCTTTTAAAAAAGCACTTCACATAAGCATTTATACATCATTGAAATGAAGTAAATTGTGGAAGTCTAAGGCATAGAATGAAAAGGCATGATAATGAATTAGGTACTGAGTAAACAAAACATGCCTCTAAATTGGTCTGAGCAAATTGTGCATGAAATAGGAACAAATGGAGCTTTACAATGGTGAAGACACTCAAGACTCACTTATAACTCAATGTTATATTTTATAAAAGAAAAGTTTTAAAATGGCTACTTTGTTTAGTTACCCTTTAGTCTGTCTTAATTGAAGACAAACCATTAAAATGCCATGATCAACACAAAAAAAAAATGGAAAAAAAAAAATTTAATCCATAAATTGAATAAGATGGCATTTTAAAAAATAGGTGCTAAGTTTGATTACAGCTGCAAGGGAAAAAAATGAAATAAATTTGGATTTCATTAAAAATGAACATTTACAAATTTAAAAGCGCTAGAGTATTTTAGCTCATGCTGAAATGTACAAGATAAAACGCCTAAATAAAATATATGTTCCAACAGTACACAAAACAGTGCAAAACTACTATATTTTGATAGAAAACAAATCCTTACTTAAATGAGTACCATATTGTTTGGTGAGAAGAAAAATACATTTTCGAAATTTTGAACATAAACAAATGAACCAGTGGAAAAAAAAATACAGGAACAAGATAAAAAGTAAACCCAACAATGAGTTAACAAAGCAATGTCTATATAATCTGATTCTGACAGTGTAAAAAGAAAAACATACAGAAAAAATGTAATTAAAAATAAACTACAGACATTTCTTCATCACAGCCATTTTAAATTATCTGCGCTTCTTCAAGTATGGAAATAACACCATATATTTTGACCTCTTTAAACACAAACAAAAGAAAATACAACAGAAGACTGACTTTTAAATGAAAAGTCAATAAATTCTTCTATCAATTTGAATGCCTCTTATTTAGGCATCTCTGAGGTTTTCTCTTGCAGTTCAAGGAGCCTCAAATGTGAAATGGCTGGTGCCGTGGACCAAATAAAAAGCTTAAAGCTTCCTAGTATCACATTTTAGGGAACATAGCCCTGGTCCAAACTTGACAACACAGGAGTTGCCATTAGAAATTCTCTGGCTTCAAATGCTATGGTAAAAATTAAAGTCATGCATCTTTTTGACAGTACAACTCTTTCAATGCTTTAAGTTCTTCAATTAATGTCTTGTTCTGGTTTTCCAATACAGCTACTCTGTTCTCTAAACATTTGACATATTCCTTTTTCTTCCTCCGACACTCTCTTGCTGCCTCTCTGAAAATGTGTATATTTTCTTATTTTTATTACCAGCAACCTGGTTAGAAACATGTTGAAACAGGCACACATTAACCCTTTACATAACTATGCACCTGTGGTCACCAGATAATTTTTTGGTGTGGTTGTCCTACTATGTATAGTATATTTATTTACGAGTAGTAGTGGATTTTGAATATACCGGCACAAATGGGAAAGTTGTATTAATGTTTTCTAGTTCTATCACTGGTGCTTCATTTTCTGATATTTCTCTCAAAATTATGGGCAATATAATTATTAAAATTAAATCTAAATTTAAATCAGGCCTTATTTATAATGTAACTATTGTAAAAGAAAGCTCTAGCGACTACGCTGAATTTTTTTTTTAGCATTTTAAATTAATTTTTTTCTTAGAAATAATATTAGAAAAAGTGTTTTGTATAAGTTCTTCTGAGGTAAGTGTAATTTTTATTAATTAGTAAATTATTAAGCAATTTAACCCCATGCAAATAAACTAGAAAATTATTAAGCTATTTAACTTCATGCAAATAAACTTAGACCAGTTTTATGAATATTACTTTTATTTTATTTTTTTAACGTAAGTGGCTATTTCCAAAAAAATTATTTTATAAAATGAGTCGTCTTTTTGCCCAGCTGTGTGGGAAGTAAAATAGTTTTGATGCCACAACTGGTAAAAGGTTAAATGATCTAGAGCATTAAAAATTTAATTATGAAAAGATTATTGTGAAATATTACAAACCTATTTTTTAATAACCGCAACTCCCTTTTCCGAGAACCTTCCTCTGACATGTGTTGCGGTGAAGAAATAGGACTGCCTGTCATTACAACACTTTGTGCTAAGGATCCAGGTGTAGCTATTTGATAGGCTTGAACATTAGTTCCTCCAACTGTAAATTAAAGTGATAATGATTACTAATAATGAAAAAGCCAACACATCTTAGTTGAATAATTGATATAGAAGCCCATTGCATCAACCTAAAACTGCTACCAGATAAATACTATTATGATCTATCACAAAATACAGTAATATTATAATACAGACCTGGAATATAAAACTGGCCATCTGGCCCCTGGGCATACTGTACAATTGTGGTTCCCCCTGTGGAATTAGAAGCAGATGTAGGACTTGCATTGGTCATTGTTAATGTCTGCAGACCTTGAGTTGCTGGTGTAGCATCTCCATGTGCACTCAGTTGCAATGTACCACCCTGACCGTCTGTTGAAAAATCAAATTGTAATGGTCTTGGAAATATCCGCGCTGTAAATTATGGGAAAAAGATAAGATACTATCCAATAGTATGAGACCATATGCAATTATTGGTTGTATCTTTGTTCGTGGGCTTCATTTCTGAAGTGAAAGAATACTTCTTTATATTTTTAGGAATTAGAAAAAGTTTCCGAATCATTAAAGCAGCTTAATGTTTAAAGGAACAGATTTATCTACATGAATTCCAATAAATTTGTTGTTTGATTTCATCCCAGACAGTCAGGTTGGATTTTTGTAGAACATAAACAATTGGCAAAACAGCATTACATATTTTTAGTAATGGAAACCAATACATGTAAATATATAATATAACAATAAAATAAAAGGCCCTTCCAATTCCGATGTGCATGTATCAAAAAGAGAAGTAAACAAAGGTTATATAAAAATAAATTTAAGCCAATGTGACTTGCATGTTGAATCCCGCATCCTGCTGATTTGAAGTATAAAAACAATTATATAGAAGAACCACCAGTCTTTGTACATGTATCCCAAATTTATTTTTATTGCATCATATGACAATTATATCCTCGCAACCTACATCAATAAAAAACATGTCTATTATTAAATATTTTTGAAAATCTGCTACGTGATGATTTTTTTTAGTATGATACATGGTCTATGCTTTTAAGTGTTGTTTGGGCATATGAGTACCTGTATACTGGAAGGAGCATGAAATAACATGGTAGGTGACAGTTTTTGTTGTTATTTAGAAAAAGTCTTGTCTATTACACCAAAAGGAAAGCTTAATGTGATCCCAGGATTCTTAAGTCGAAGAAGAGTAATCAAGTATTATCCCATCATGTGATCTGTTGAGAGAAATCGACACCTGGACGAGTCTGTTGATTATTTCATCCATAACTGTTCAAGTAAACACAGCAAACAGAAGTTGATGGAAGCGGTTGTTTTTTTTATCAGCGCTGGTTGGATAATTAATCAAAGCACCTAGACATCAGGAGTAGAAACCTTTACCTCATTATATTATGGTTACACTACCCAAAACTGTAAAACTCAATTTTAAAAATTCATTATATGCTATTCGCATTCATACCAAAGAAAGAATAATTTCAACTAAATCCAGCCTATATACTAATAACACTTGCAGGGATGTGACCATGAAAAAAAAAATTGTAATTTTAACTTTTTAGATCAATTTATTTTAAGTGTTTTGGAAATAAGATTTTTTTAAAATTGAGCAAAAAATTTATTCTTTTAGAATGGCCTGCTATTAAAAAAACACCCAAAATATTTTTGGTGCAAATATAAAATAGAAAAAATTGTAACGGAAAATTCGAATTCTGAAATCCGCAGAAATTTGGAAAAGTCACATTCCTGTACTTGTCATATCACTGTGAATTAAAAAGAATCGTTAAAAATCTGCAGTCACATTGGCCTGAATGAACCTTTAACATCAAAGCAAAAGGAATTCTAGTAATATCTGCTACAAATACATGTATAAAGATGATTATACAAAGAAGCCATTAATGTATTCACTGTTTTAAAAAATACAATAATGGAATCAAGAAATATTTTTGTTTAACACACTTCTTAAAAACATTTATAAAATAATAATAAAAATAATAACAGGCAGCTTTCGATAACAAAAATATATAAAACTACACACTGACTTAAAATTAACATTTTAATGTACCAATACAATTTTTTTAAATGTAACAAATTCCAACAGTGATGTAAAAAATAAATAGTTGCCCAGTGAATGCAATTAACTTTCTTGGTGGTTTGACTTTTAAGACTCAAACCTTTTACCAAAGGGGTAGCAATTATTCTTTAATCGGGAGCTGCCTGCATTAAAATATAATACTTACAATCTTGGCCATCTTGACTTTGACTACTATTTGAATCATCTTCCATTTTTGTAACAGGAGAGGAAAGGTCATTAAGAATTTTCCTGAGAATATAGAATATAGACTATTTACCAAGAATAACACTTCTCTTATTAAGTAGACAAGTGTGCAAAAAGTCATAACAATTGAAAATATATGCCATTCTACCTATATGATGGTCTTCTTGCTAGGATTTCCCTTCTTTTCTTGGCATCTGAGTCATCAGAAGATAAATCGTCGTCAACTGCGGCAACCTGATTTTTAGAAAATAACACCAAAATTAATACAAACGTTTACATCAATAATATTCATATCGCTGAAAAAATTGATCAAAATCCATTCCAATTATAAACATCAAGAAAGCTATCAAAAATGTAGTTGGGACATGAAAATCCCAACAAAGCAACCACACCTTGCTGGTTAAAAAAAATAAGAATAGTGTAAGATTTGATCAAATTAGTAGGAGGACAAATCGCCTCACGGATCTGAAAGAAATTTCAACAGTTTCTACCTATCGGCCCTTTAAAAAGAATGATTGTGGTGGGGGCGTTTTTTTCTTTCTATTAACCACACATACACAACAGCTTAGTAAAAAAATATGCATGCAATGGCATTTGAAAGGTTTCCAATTTCCCAAACTATTCCTAACCTCCATTTCAGGTTATGATATTAAAATAGACAATTTACCCTGACAACTTGGATTGTCTGATAATTGCCTGCGCTGTGTATGATAGTTGGATTTGCCTGAATGACAGGCTGAACCTGTATGGCTTGGTTAGGAATGCTCACATGGACCACTGAAATGCCCTGGGTGCCATTTTCAATGTCAGCTGTTCCAGGACCATTCCCTGCTGACATGTCTGGGAAAAAGAAACGGAGAGAAAATCAAAGTGGTCATTTGTTGCAAACCATTTGTATTTTACATTGGTCACTGGAGTCCTACAGAAGTTTTCATTCATTCAAATAATTTGAACAAACAATACAAGGGCTACCTATCTGGGGTCAAATAATGTAATATTCCATTACATATAAAAGATAGGTCTGGTGGAACTAACACAGATCCTTTTCCCTTCCCCCTTAATGAAGTATGCTTTTTATACAACACTGATAACACTGCAAACAAGCATTAATTTCTGAATACATTTTAGTAACTTCCTGGGAGGAAAATGTTTTACAATTTAGAAAGAAAGGAACTGCCTGTTTGAAACTGATCAGTTTTATGCTTATGTAGATATTTTAAAAATGTCATCACCAATTGTTGACAGGCATCAAATACTTGATCAATAGGTTTTAGAATAAGGATTAAAGAGCGACAAGTTATTGAATCACTGAGAAGAGACAACTTGTATTTTGATTAACAACAGCAAGTGAAAATTATCAGCTGCAGACCACGATGGTGTAAACTAGAAATTAGTAAACCATTGCACTTTTTACAAAACAGACACAAATTAAAAAATTAAACCTTCGCCCCCACCCACGTTTCTCGTTGTGGGAGATGTCCTGCTAGGGATACAAAGGATTGACTGGAAATATCGACCATCAAATGTTTATGTATGCTTCAACCTAAATGCACAGGCCTACATACAGTATAGGCCAACATAGTATCCCTACTATAAAAATGTAGCCTAATAAAAATATAGGCCTATCCATTTTAAAAGTTACAGGCTTAGTTTTGTTTTCACATAGGCCTAGCTAGATGTAGATCTAATTAAATAATTTTAGCTTTGTGTCATGTCATACAGCAGTTACTAGGATTGTTTGTTTTAATTTCTGATTTGTTTTATTTTATAGGTCAAATTAAAATCTATGCCATGTTTAATCATCTGGTACTAATCAATGTTTCTAGATCTAAATGACTTCTCTTCTGTGTAGTGTGTAGCCGGTAGCCTAAAGAAAAGTAAAGATTTTAAAAAATTGAAACTAGCCTGGCAAATTCTAATAAAATGACTAGAGAATCCAGATCTTGCTCATAAAGTAGATCCAGATTCTAGAATATAGATGTACCAAATGTATGAAAATGCCGTCCATTTTTTAAAATTATTTAGGCTTAAGAGATCTCTGAAGATCTAGATCTAGTATAGCTCTCCAGCTTAGAATCTAATACAGTCAATGACTGATAGTCTAGATCTAGTCCTGAAATGAACAGTATTACTGAGTAGTATACTTACTCTAGATCTATACTATAATATCTACTCATAGTCATACTCTTGTACTCCAACTTTAGACTCAGATGTCTAACCATTTAGTCACTAAATTTTAGTGGCATTTACCATAGGAAACAATCAGTAGACTACTAGATCTAGAGATTCAGAAGATTTGGTCTAGATTTAGATCTAGATCTTACTAGCAGGACTAAGAAGAGCTAGAATCTAGATCTAGAGTCTAGCTATCACTAGATCTATGTGTAAAAATTTCAGAAAAATTTATGAATCATCCATGCCTGCTGTGTCACACAGAGTGACTAATAAAATGAATTTTTATTTTTAGTAAACTCGACTCATGTTAAGTTCTCTCGAATTATTTTAGCATTGAAAACAGTCGTTTCTTTATTAGTGATAAGTGTAGGATACAACTCCTTTTCTAAAACGAAATTTCTTTCATTCATGCTTGTCTTAGCGACAGATATTCGAGGATGAGCGTAGTTGCCTGATATCAACAAACTGAGAAAAATGGTCTCAGAATCGAAATTAGGCCACCCACTGAATCGGACCAACCTCGAGCTGTTGTCGCTCCAGTTAATAACGTTCATCCTGATTCAGAAATGTCTGTTCTCTAAATTTCCATTAAAACAAAAATCAGACTTAAGCAGCACACACGTATTCCAGGACCATCACCATGCTCGATTGTTGTGATTCGTCAATGAGTTCTTACCAATTACGTACTTTTCGTCACCAACTTTGCTGCAATCGGAGTGGATAAATTTGTAGAATACGTAGTCGCCACGTCAAAATACACCATCAGCGTCACAAGGCCAAATAACAAGGCCGTTCTACATAGAAATATTGGAGTATTCATACGCTCGCCAAATTTGATTGGTCGAAATTTATGGAATGACGTCAGTAAAGCCACTGCTGACGCTTGCAAGCTAAAAATAGATTAATAATTATTTTTAAAATAAAATATTTGACTAAATAATCTTTTAAAAAAAATCAAAAGTACTTTTAAAATAAAAAATATTTTTAATTAAGATAAATTATAACACATTTAAGCAATATTCTTTAGGCTGAAGTATTTTATAGTGGAACTTTTTTTTATAGAGTATGTACTTAAGATTTTAGCAATAATTACGTTGTTTCCTGAGGATTCATCTGATTTCTGTTAGGCTACAGTTAGATATAATAATCTAGACTAGATCTCTAGAGTCTAGATCTAATGTAGAATCTAGTTCTATAATCTAACAAAAATCTGTCACTTCATTTCGTTTTTAAACTAATGAATAAAGATATTATATTTTTTCATTTTTTTTTAAAATTTAAAATATTTAGATCTACTTCTTCATTAATCGTTAAAGTTAAAGCTTTATCTTGAAAAAAAAAAGCATGCACATTCATTTCTAAATAATAAACTATTAGATCTAGATCTATAAAAAACTGTCAATGTTCCCTTGATTATTAATAAACTATTTTGCTTTTCTTTGTGTAGGCTTATAGACTAAATTACTATAAACCACATTAAATGTGTATTGCGTGATTCTTTATAGAAACTATTTAGTAAACAATATAGCGCCTAATAATCAATATGAATAATGAAAACACAATAGTGAAAAATAGACGATTAAGTCCTAGGTATCTTTTTAATAGTTTTCGCGGGATTTCCAAATTAGGATTATTTTTTTAAACCCATCTACAGAAATTTCAGAACATCTATAAATTATTTCACGCTTTTGGTGTAAATATTCGGCCAAAGGCAGATTTAGCACGATAATTATGAGACATTTTAACGGTGGTTATATTATGTTCCTTTGAAGAATATTAACCCCCCCCCCCCCCACACACACACACACTCCCGCCGGAGAGATGTCCGAGGGAACCACTTACTTCATCAGAAACCAGTGTTTCTTTCAGAATATTTTTTTCCGGGGGGGGGGGGGGCGGACTTAAATTTAATATTTTCTTTATTCTTCTATTCTTCTTCTGCGTTCTTAATTTTAGTGTTGGGAGATATTCCCTCTAACACAATTAAGTATACCTGTCAACTGGTTATGCGCCATATAGACCGCTGACTTAGATTTCAGCCAGCTTTTCTTTTTGGATTTGCTTCCATAGCCTTTGTCCAACCAAGAACAAACTACATTTTCTACCAGGCAGCAGTTATTTGATTATGGAGTTGTCTCTCATAGAAGAGTTCCTGTCACCATCTGTCGAGTCTAATCTGCCCGAGTATAAATACTATAAATCATGCACTTTTCTATTTCATTCGGGGTAGGGGTAGATTTGCTTCGCCCTCCACCTCCCCGAAGAAATACCTAAAAGAAACACTGCCCAATACACACCGCCCCATGAAAACATGTGGATAAATTACCAGCAGCCAATGTACGTCGGAACTAGAGTTCTAAAAATAATTATGCCGTGAAAGTGTATTGTTCAAACAATTTTTAAACTCCGTTTTAAAATTCACAATGTATTCAGACAACTCATCATCCATCCCATCGAGCTCAACTATAAATATAAAGTAATAATATTCTAATAGCACTCCCTGGAAGAAGACATACATGTCAAAGGTGCTCATCAACTCAGCATTGGACTAACAATTGTCATCTACCGGAGATTGCAAAATTAACAGTCAGGGACCGGACAAAATGGAAGATTACGGTGAGGCCCTATACAAAGAGGATTAAGTAAGAAGTAAGGATACAGACGCAACTCAGTTGGTAAATTCAATACAAAAAGCAAATGACGAAAAATCGACGACAACTCACAATATCAGCACGGCACAATGCAGAGAACCTCATGAATAGTTTCAGAAATTGAGAAATCTCAAGCTATAAAACTACAGGCTAACGTTGATACAGACATAACACAGTTAAAAGAAGACAAAACATCAGCCTTAAATATAACAGATCATAGGAAATAGAAATAGAAAGCGTTAAAAACAGTCACATCAAAGTAAAGTGGTGTGCGGATACTGCCTACTCCCTTTCAACACACAATCAGAATAGGGGAGAAGCGAGCTGCACACTGTGCGAAGCCGATATAAAGCATACAGTTCGCTGGACATCATGCTAAAGTACACACAGACATCGCATATTACAAATGTGGGTATTGCGAAGCTGGCTACCAACGCAGAAATACACCACATTCATTAAAGGTTCGCTTGCAGATGGATTTGTATTAACACCGTATTTTATTCTCGTTGTATTTTCAAATTTTGAAGTTTCTCAGTTTTGAGCTATAGGGAAATGAGTTATATAGCGACCAAAGATATTATTTCCAATGTTTGAATCCTTTAGAAGCTCTTTACCTTTTATTAACTTAAATCTATTGAATTAAAAAATACCAAACTTTAAGGACTAAACCGCTTTAGTTAACGTTTGACGACTTATTTTATTTAACGACCGGCGCAGAACGTGAAAATGTGGCAAGCCGACCTGATGTATTTGACTTTTGCTCGATTGCTATTCTTTTGGTTTACATTATTCATTTTAGTGTGTTAATTTTTTTTAAATTTACAACGAATAAAAACATTACAAAAGTTATGAAATTTTAAAACATAATTCTAAATAATAATTAGAAAAAAAAAACAACTTTTAAAGTTACTTATTAAAAATACATATGACAAATTGACAATGAAACAAATGTTGAAAAGCTATACAATGACTTAGCTTTAAAATGCGGTAAGCATCAGTAGCGTATCGAGGGGGGCGTGGGGGGGGGGACATATGTCCCCGGGCGCCGACCTTAGGGGGCGCCAAAATGTCGCTACGCCTCTGGTAAGCATGTCTCTCCTACCCACTCCAGTGGACTGTGTTTTCGTTCTGATCAGTACTTTGTTTGCCTGTGAAAGTTGCGATTGGTGTCACCCCCTCCTCCCATTGCCTAATGTCGTCAATTTGATTAAACATTATATTAATCCGCCTATTAATTCAAGGTATAAAAAAACAACCTCGATGCTATAGTGAATTCTTAGATATGGTGTCACCCCCCCCCCCCCCCCCCGGTCGTTGATTCATCATCATCATCATCAACAATTTTTCCTTCTCATGCCACTTTTTTCAGCTGATCCCAATTCCTTTATATCGTTTCAGCCTCCCCCGGTCGTTGATTTACGTATCAGTTATATTGTAAATATTTTTTAAAAAACTTTCCCACCTCTATAAAGTAAAGTTTGCAGTTGGTGACACTCTCCCGGGCCGGGGATAGCTTTAATCTGTGCACACTTAATAGTATCAATGTTTATAGTCGGCTATTAATACTGCTGGATGTTGCATTGTTTCCTCTAAAGCTAGAAGTTTACATCATAGTGTCACCTTCCCAACCCTGTTGAGATCGCCAACATGTATTTAAACGACTTTTTAAATTTAATCAATAACTGAACTGGCAATTTTTTTTCTCAGTAAAATTTGCATTTTATTTGCCTTGGATTTACCCCCCCCCCCCCCCTTCCTAATAAATGGTGTCACCCGATGGTGTGGACCGCACCCTCTCGCGACCCCTCTGTAAATATATATATATATATATATATATATATATATATATATATATATATATATATATATATATATATATATATGGCCTATATAACGGATAGGGAGTTCCTCATTTAGTGAAGATTTTGCTTTCCCAATAATAGTCGATACGAAACCGTGCTTTGGAAAAAGGCCAATTATGTTAAGTATTACCATCATTACTCATTATTAACGGCGGGTAAGGAAAATGCAGGTAATCGCCAACGCTCAAATAGAAAAAAAAACACTGCTGGCATTTGTTTAGTAAAATAGCATTGTGAAGCTATGTACCGCTAGCTGTTTAAATAAAACTCAACGTATGATGGGAGGTGAATGATTTCAAGAAATTTGTAATTGAAAACATTGTTTACTCGAACATTTCTTAAATTTGCTGATTTGACATATTGTTTTACCGTTCGAGCAAATATTTAAAAATAAAAGGAAGTGACAACTGAATAAATTTTGTCAATTAGTCTAATGATATGATTATCTAATTGTTTAAAAAATCAATGATCAGCACCTGAAAATACATGTTAAATATAAAATATAGGCCTATAAGTTGTTTTTTTTCCTTTTTGCATAGAGGGGGGGGGGGGGGGAAAGAATTTGTCATTTATTATTTTGACTTCGAGTGATTTAAAAAGCTGGCTACCTTAAGTTAAAACATCCACTGTAACAGGCATATGACAATATGCACTAGATATATCGATCTTTGAATGTAAAGTTAAGAGTTAAGTTAAATCAAAATATGTGTTTTTAATTATAAAAATATATTTTAATGTTTTATATTAAACATAATTTGACGTTAACCCTTAAGGAAGATAAAATGCGAAAAGCATATTGACGTAGATTACCATACTATATTCAGTATATTGGTAATCGTAGAACAATACCACCAGGTATCGCACCTAATACGTTCATATTTGGAGTGGGCTGTAGAGAGTACAGAAATCTATTTCTGGTGGTCTGTTGTAAACAATTTCACAACCATGATGTCGGAAGGCGCATTAGATGACAGTAGCAACCGTAACACTTTTATACCTTTTAAAGATAGGCCGGAATGGAACGATGTTAAACCAGTCCCACAAGACGATGGTCCAGATCCTGTTGTTCAAATAGCATATTCCGAACAATGTGTGTATTTTTATATTTAAATTTCTTATTTCTGATATTTCATGCACGCACTAAAATTAAAATCTACTCTACTCTAGAGTCTAGAGTCTAGCTAGATCTAGGCCTACATCTAGATTCTAGAATCTAGATCTAGAATTCTAGATCTAGAGGTAAAACTCCATTTTAGCGTATTTTAAAAGTATTTTATTCTCCGCTTCTTGTTTACCTCCAGTTGAGCATATTTTAAATTATTTTATTGGGGGCCCCTATAACAACTGAAACACACCAAAACATTAAGTCAAGAAAACACGATTTATTAGGCCTATTTGTATTGTATTTTTGTTTTAACCTTTGTTTAAGATTTTGATAGTTTACTTTTGTTAAAAGTTGAGAAAAATCCAAATTTAGAATATTGAATGTGCAATGGGTGAAGTACGTAAACGAAACTCACAATTGCAAGGCGGTTAAGTTTGTATTATTACAAGTATCTCCCAGGCATGATACTATTAGGCTTGTCGGTATCGGCCGAGATCGCGGTAAAAACATGATCCGAAATCTCCCATTACTTTCTGATACCGGGCGCACGAGATTTAGTTTTGCATACTAATAAGTTTTTAATTTATGGTAATTAATTAAGTTTAAAAGGTCATTTCCTAATGTTAAATGAAAAGTAGAATGGTTTTCCAGTTGTTTTGATGGCTTAGCGATCTGATTGCATGCTGTCTCTGCTTTGGTCTTACCGCGGTATAAAGGTTAACTTCAAATGCTTTAAAAGCGCGATTTTTGAAAAGTTTCCATTTAGATAATGAAAGTTTCCAAAGCATATACATCCCATTTTTATAGAAATGATATTTATTTTTGGATATTTTGACTTTGACGTTAGTAAATACTCATTTGAAAGTAGTCACCGTAAGTAGGTCACGTTGCCCCCATTGACTCCAATGTTATATTTCTTCATCCCGATCTGCCGGCTTTTAGTTTTGATACACTAACAACAGTATTCTTATGTAATGTACAAACAAATCTCCTACTTGTTGTTTTAAACATATTTTAATATAGATCTACCTGTCTTTCATTTTTTCAACTCTGTTTCTAGTTTTGCTTGAAGTAAAATTTTGCTGAGTCAGACATAGGTTACCTGTCTGTTGCTAGAATACACTACACTAGCTATGTGCTAACTGTAATTTTAAGTATTCAAGTTCTACTTACCCTTACTTAGTTATATTTATATGCTGAAAATCAGAATTCATACACAATACACACATAAAACATTGATCAGATAACTTCAGTTCACTTTTAACAAAATGGCTTAAAGATAGACTCTACTTCACCTGCCCAAAATAATAAGGCAATTATATGCACATTACAGTGTTCAAGTCATTTACTTTAGATTGCTAACTATGTAGTTCTTTCATTCACTGTATTTATATAAAGCATTGCTTTAGAAACTTTTTCATATTTGCGCAGCACAGTTTTATAACAAAATGTCTTAAAGATGGACTCTACTTCACCTACCCAAAATAATGGGGCAGTTATATGCACATTTCAGTGTTCAAGTCATTTACTTTAGATTGCTAACTTTGTAGTTCTTTCATTCACTGTAAAACATTGCTTTAGAAACATTTTCATATTTGCGCAGCACAGTTTTTTTGGGGTTATGGAAGGAAGCCAACACAAAAATATACTTCTGTATTATTTTTATTTATTTCAACAGCATATACAAGTTCTATATATCATTCTAGCTCAACTCTGCAAATATGAACAAAATACAACTGCAAGTAAAATAACTATGCTCAATTTATTCAGGTATACCATGACTTGTCACAATTGGCCAATGCAAAAGCAAGGGCATTCCACCCCTCACAAAAAAATTCGCTAAAAAAAAACTATTTGAGCTAGACAGAAAATCTTTTTTGTTTTGTTTTCATATAGTTGAGCTCTACAAGAATATGTAATTTTTATTTTTATATGATGATTAGTGTTTTTTTACCAAAATCCCTAATACTATAAATAAACATTTATGAGCTTACAATGACCCCAAAACTGAGGCCAACACAATTTCAAACAGATATTGCCAGAGCTATGACGTATGCTGATAATTAAAGTCAATGTGAACTCACGGCGAACCCGCGACCGTGTAAGGACTTTTCTCCCGCTGACGATCACACGACATTTAATTGGAACAGTTCTAATGCTTTTTTATGTTGTTTTTTCACCTTTTCTAATAAAAAATCGCATTCATAAAAAAAATAAGTAGATCTGTGTTTTCCTAACGTTTTTGTATGTTTCGGTTGTGTTTACAATAAAATACGCTCAACTTGAAGTGAACGTTGAGCGGGGAATAAAATACGCTAAAATGGAGTTTTACCGATCTAGATTCTAAATAAAACTAGGCCTATCCTATACTAGTATACAAGGCCATTCGGTTCACGGCTTCCGGGTTTGTTGTTTTCGTGCCATCTCACGGCCCATGCGCTTACTAAAATGGCGACCAGTTTAGCTTTTACTACGCGGTAGAGGGATAAAACTAATGATTATGAATATGAAGCCTACGTCAATTTTAGACAGCTAGATTTATGACTATTTTTTTGTCACAATTAAAAAAAAATAGACGTGTTAAGCTTTCTTCTTTGATGATCGTTTTTATTATTTTTTAAACTGAAAATAACTATGATTAGTTAGATTGCAGGTTTTGTAACTTGGTATACTTACCGTTTATCAATTTAAAATGCATACTGATTGTGTACAAATATAGTAATAAAACACAGAAATATAAAGTTCCATTTGGATGTGCCACACCCTCTCAAGAAAGCACATGTTTACTAAGTTGTTATCTCACTTTACAACAGTAGCCTAATTAAAATTAATTTCCAATTTTTTATTACTTAAATGGGTTAGATTAAGCACATTTTTACTTATAATAAACAACAAACAAAAGTAAATTATGTTTTAATGACCTGACTGGAATTTTTCTCAGTAATAATGACTTTGCACAGATAGTTAATATATGCTAAATTGACTTAGTTTACTAGTGTGCTAGCTATTACTGATACTTTTTTTTAATAAAAAAATAATTTTGATTTGTAAAAAAAACAGAATTTCCGAATCTTGCTAAATTGTTGTTTAATACTGAGCCTTGATATCATATGTGGCTTGATTATCTCAAACGGTTCAAAAGTTGTAGTAGGCAGTTAGAAGCAGATAAGTGAAAATTGTTTTGGGCCTGGGAGCTCAAGAAATGGGAGAAATTAGGCCAGGGAGGCCTGTGCTCAAAGGGTTAAGAATGTAATATAAAAATACTATTGTAAATGTCTTAGTTAGAATATTATTACACTTAAAGCTCTGTACTGAGAAGAGGATGAGCCTTTAATGTTAAGAAGACTTTTTAGTAGGTTTAATTCAGCTGTAATATGCATTGATTGATTATTGTAAGAAGTAAATCAGCATAGATCTAGTAAGACCGAAACCGTTTCTGTTAAAGTCTGTCTCACTTTAATATAATCTGACTAGTTAATAAAAATATGAAAAAGAAAAAACAATAGCTTACATTAAGTCATAATTTCAGTCCTTTGGTCAGGTGACAAGCTGATATAAGTTATATATGTGTTACATGCTTATTACTATTGCATGAAGGTAGGATTCTCTCAACTTTCTGTTATTTTAAAATAGATATGGTTATATTAAGCCATTTTATTTTGCTCAGGCCTGCATAAAATATGAAGAAAAAAATGACTAAAAATTGTGTTGAAGTCACACATTTTAAAATTACAGATAAAGTTCACCTGTTCCAGTATCCTCAGCTAATGAATGTTCATATTAGGTTAAGTTCCATCCCAAGTCGCCTCTACTTTCTCAAACTTGGGTCAAGTGACCATTAGAACTGGTTGAACTCAGTGACATGAGTTCCTTGAACCAAACTCAACACTTACCGGATAACGATCCCATACTCTACCATTTTTTAATATATTTAAATCCCATGAAATATTACAAATTCATTTAACTAATTCAGGTTTTCTATTATTGCTTTATGTGAAGCATGTACTTACAGTTTGTATTTAATTTCTAGGTTGAAAAATATTGTGATGAATAATGTTTTGCTATTATTTTCAGTTCGTGATGTGTATGACTATTTTCGGGCTGTGATTGCTGCTGATGAAAAGTCTGAACGAGCTCTTGCCCTTACTAAAGAAGCAGCAGAGTTAAACCCAGCTAATTATTCTGTATGGTAAGTTTGGCTAAAAGTAACGAATCCATATACATTTTTTTTTTAGTAAATTAATTTGTTTTTATATATCATCTAAACCTATTGTCAGTTATATAATTTTTTAAAATTATGTGTAAGAATTATTTGTAATATTATGATTATTTAGGAACTACCGAAGAAACATCATACAAGAATTAAACAAAGACCTTGCAGAAGAATTAAAGTATATATCACAGGTTATAGAAGATAACCCAAAAAATTATCAAGTATGGTATGCAATTTTTAAAAAAATGTACATAATGTGACACATTTCTTTCTTTGTTTTGTAGTATTTATTTCTTCATAATTTTCAAAAAGATATTTGCTACTAGTCTTTGATCAGTTTTTCTTTTTTTTCCCTAAGAATGTAGGTTTCAAAAAGGAAACCAAATAGGTTAATATGGTTGATGTTTAAAAGTTAAAAACGATTAATGTAAAAATGTTGTTATTGTTTGATTGTGTCTGTTAAAATGCCCTTGTGAAATATATTTGAGATAAAGTAAATTTTTTAGAGTTTTAAAAACATGCTTATGTTAATCTTGAAGGCATCATAGACGAGTCATTGTTGAGTGGTTGGAAGATCCAAAAGAAGAGCTTCAGTTTACTGAAAAAATTTTGCAAGATGATGCCAAAAACTATCATGCATGGCAGCATAGGTAAGTGTTTTATATTCACTAATTTCATTACATTGTTTTCTTTTTGTGGAGAAAATTTTTTCTCTGGTGTAGCCTACTTTGTTTTAAACAAGTGGGGCAAAATATTGGATTTATGTACTAAAATTAATGAAAGTTATTTAAAGTCTGATTTCACTTTAAATACAAACACTTCTAGTGTAGTAATTGTAATATTGGATTTATGTAATAAAGTTAATGGGAGTTATTTTAAGCTCTTTGATTTCAATTTAAACACAATACTTCTAGGCTAGTAATCATGTGCTCTCTACTGCAGTCACTTACATAGTCTTATACATAAGGAAGTAACCTATACATGTCTAAAATCTGTGTTATTAAAGAAGATGGCAATCTGCATTAGCACCTAAATGTCATTGTCCACATTTGCATTTTTAAATCATGTATTTTATGCACAAAAGCATTTTAATTTTAAACCTTTAAAATTATTCTATATATAGTTTCGCTGTCTGTGTATCTATCTGACAAGAACGCTCTAGAGAAAACACAAGCAAATTAAAAACATGCATAGTAATTCGAAAAACGAAGTATGACGTCATCACATTTAGCATAAGAGTAGAAAATAATCTTAAGCCGGAGAGTGCACACAGTAATATGACGTCATTGATTCTCGAGTAAACTTTGAATAAAAAGGAAATTTTGTCTAATCTAAGTGGTTTGCGTGAAGAGTTTCTTTCATACAATTCTTCGGGTAGGGGCAAAGCCTCCACCCCCGCATAAGAACGTCCGAGCCCCCCCCCCCCCCCCCTCCCCAACTCAAAAGAAATTTCTTCATCGATACTCTATAATAAAATTACCGCCTAATTAATTTGTCTAATCTAAAAAGTGGTTTTCTTGCAATTTCTTTAATGCAATTCTTCGGGTAGTGGCTAAGCGCGACACCAGTGTTTCTTTCAGACTTTTTCCTCCCCGGAGAGGGGTGGGGGTACTTGAAATTTTCGGGGGCGGGGGGTAGAATTTTCGGGGAGGGGGCGGTTGTGGGGTGGGGTGGTTTTAGTTTAGAGAAAAGAGACAGCACTATCAGCCTAGCGCCCGTTGTATCCTTCCTCGACTGGCAATTTTTCTCATTATTCTATATATTTGAAAAATGGAATACTATGCTTTTAAAACTTATTTTGCTATAATTCAATTTTAGGCAGTGGTGTATTCAGCAATTTTCTCTGTGGGACAAAGAACTGGACTATGTTGATAAATTACTTAAAGAAGATCTCCGCAACAATTCAGCTTGGAATCAGCGCCATTTTGTCATAAAAAATACAACTGGTTTTACTGATGATGTCATACAGAAAGAGTTAAAGTAAGTGATTTATTTAAAACGCATACAGCTCCTAATTACATGTTGCTCTAGTCCTAGGAATGATTTTACCATTAATTTCCTCAGTACCTGTTAAAATTTAACTATGTACCCAAACTTCATGGGGTGAAATATACAATTGAAAATGACATTGATCGCTTTTTTTGTTTAGTGAATTATGTGTTTACATCTATTTTCTATTAATCATGGTTATTTCTGCCCACCTGTGTAGGTTATTGTGTTATCATTTACATAACAGCAAATAAAATTAATTTGATAAACTGAACCATTCCTCTTTTGTATTATCATTCTGTTAGATACAATGGTGATATGTCAAATCTTTTTATTTTATCTATCAGGTTAGACTAATTAATAAATGTTAAATTTTAATAATTCTAGATATGTTCAAGATTTCATAAGAAAAGCCCCTAACAATGAAAGCTCATGGAACTATATGAAAGGGTAATTGATTTACTACTTTTATTAGTGAAGAAATTATACTTTTATTGAGCCATATGGTTTTATAAATTTATATGGTTAGAAAATATAAAATTTCTTAACAGCTGCTGGGAATTATAAGTTACAAATTTAAGGGGAGTTAACTCACGTTGTCCAATTTTTCTTCTGTAGGGTTGTGTTGGATAAAAAACTAATGGACTATCCCAGCATTCTGGAGTTCTGTCATGAGTTGTATTCCAAGCAGATTCGTTCCCCTTTTCTCATTGCTTGCATGATTGATAATTATGAAGAAACCTTAGAATTTGGCAAGTGCAATAAAGAAGAGACATTACAGAAAACAACACAGGTATGCAGATTTGCTTTGTTAAGTCTCAAATTTTTTACTGTATTATTAATTTAAAGCAGACAATTTATAGCCAGCAGTAGTTTGTTTCTGTTCTGATTGATAATTCAGTATTTGACATTGATATGGGAGAAAATATTCATCTATTTATCCTTTTTCTTTTGTACAGTTGTGTAATGAATTAGCTGAAGAACATGACACTTTGAGACGAGAATACTGGCAGTACATGGCCCGCTCTTTAGCTTCTAAGTATGGCACTGAAGTATCAGGAGACTCGTAGCCGTAATAGAAACTAGTGATGTTTTAATAAATATTAGTGAGGAAATCTGTTTAAGCTTTATATGTTTAGTGATTCAGTCAGGATTTTATATTTTTATAATAGACCTCAAATAATGCATTGGCTGATTTTTTTAGTTTTTTATACTACTATTTTTCACAATCTGGAGAGCTTCTTAAACTTTTCTAATGATACAATGAATAGATAATTTAAGTAAATAATTTGTCAAATGACACATAAGAAAATGTGTATAATCTAATATTAAGATTGGTCAAATGGTTTATAATTAATTAAAAATCGTCATGTAAGATAATTACATACTGCTGGATTTTGTAACAACAGGGTTTAATCCTTTGTAAAGTTGAAAGCCATTTTCCCATACACCCTGTTACTAACTTTTTGTTCATCCAGGTAACGAGTTTTGTTTTATCCTGCACTACATTTTGTTTATTTTTATACCTAAAGACTTGGTTCACTCTTTAAGTATTCAAGAATGGACCTAAAACTTTGTGAGAGTGTTTTTATTCTGGCTCAGTTCTGGTATTCACCTGAACATTAAGGTTAGAAACCTAATGAGCTGTTGCTGAAACCATTTAAATCTTCTTTATCAACAGAAGGGCCTAAATTCTCAAAAGTGTTCATTATTTCTTGATTATCATATTTTTTTAATGAAATGGTTTTAGTCATTAAAATAAGATAGAACTTTTAAAAGTTCAATAAAAATCTTATCTCAATTGTATTTCATATAAAGCTGCGCTTGTGTAGTAACATGGTTTCCACACTTCTAAACATGGTCATGTAGACTCTTTTGTGGTGTGAAATATTATTGGACATATTATGGTAACTGTGTTTGCTGTGGAGCTAAGTGATGGTGTACCTGCTTTCTGTGGAATGAATTTTGAAACTTATCTTTATTTTATGTAATATATATATATATAAGCATATATATAAAATACATTTCTAACTTGCAATGCAGGTATATTACCTATATTTCATTGAATTTTTCAAATCTACGTTTAGTATTAAATAAGCTTTAGCTTTCTTCTATCTTGTTTAGGTAGATTTTTCTCAGACTCAACAGTGCACTTTTGAATAGTATTTGAATTATATTTCTAGAAGCGTTTATTTTGTTTCATAATCTGCTTCTGTTATTAGATCTACTAGAGTAAGCATTTACATTATTATGAATGTGACTTATATAAAGTATGCAATTATTTTGTTTAAAAATATGGTTTAATAAAAACTTTAGATATATTATAATGTTTAAATTTCTATTTTTTTTTCAGACTGCATATCACTACACATTAAGTTGATTATATTAATCTCTTTAGTAATTTCTACCAATAAAATTGCACATAAGTAAATAAATGAAACTGAATTATTCGTGACAGTAATCAGATTATTTTCTGATTCGTTTTTGTAATCAAGCCTTTTTTACTTTAAGCTCTCTTTAATACATTACATGAAAAACCACACGTTTATAGAACCTCATAAAACAGCACTTTAACAATTAATCAGAATGCCTCTTTTTCAATCTCTCTTCATAGTTTCAGGTTGAGTTTTAAAATTGTTTTTATAGATTAAAAATTAATTATGGAAATCTGTTTTTAAAATGTTATAAAATATAAAAGGTGCTACAATGATATTTAGAAAATTATAATTGCAAATAATGTAAAAACCCATTGTATTTAGTATCCTGATTTAATTCACAATAGGCTACTTTTTAAAAATTCTGTGAAAAAATATTTTTTTAAAATCTTTTTTAAATATTGCTTAAGAACCAAAATGTTTTTTAGCTTCTCTCAATAGAATTGTTCTCAGTGATTATAACTTTTCATTGTTCATTTTTCTAATTAAATTGAAAAACTAAAATGGTTAATTAATAAAAATGTTAGTTTAATTAATGTGAAATTCTCATTATTTTAATTAGTATGCTTTTCCTGTTTTTGATAGAGCATGGCCAAGATTTTAATAGAAGATAACAAATTTTCTGGGTTTTGCAAGGTTGATGTTGTATTGATTGTAATATCCTTCAAGTGTTGAATATTAAAACATATGAACCCTGTTCTCAAATTTTATGTTTATTCTTAGCCAATTACATTTTTTAGTGAGAAATAATATTTCAGTCATTCCTGCTTGCTTGTTTGTGGGAAAGATGGTTCATTCTTAATCGTTATTACACATAGTTAAGCTTAATTTACAGAGGTAGTTCAAGTCAGGCTAAAACAAACTCAGGATAGAAAACTTATAAACATTACTTTATTAATGATCAATCATTCTAGGCAGAAAATTGTATTTAACATAAATGACTAGGAAACAAAAAAAATAATCACTTGATTCATTCAACATACTTCAAAGTTTTGCCATTCATACAGAGTTAGTTGCCTACTGACTATATTTTTGAAGAAATTGTTATCCCTATGTTAAGAAATACTTTTTATTCAATTTAGCAAAGATTGTAAAAAAAGATACTTAAAAGCTGTGTACACTCTGACCTGCTATGTAGTTCACAACCAACTAAATATTGGCACTGATGAATTACTTATATTCTGTTTACAATTAAATAAACATGCATAGCTCAAACAAAACAAGGATTTTTTCTTAATATTGTAATACTCAGATAACAAGGCACAAACATGATAAAATCAGACATGCAGATGACTTCTGTGTAAAAAAAAAGTTATCATTGATTGGTGGTTAATTATGATTATTGCATCACATTTATGTGGTTTAATTACACAAATAAACAAGTGAAAAATGTCATCACATCTTGTGATGGCTGTACATAGTAAAAACCTTGAGTATGGAAGATTGTCAGTTAACTTGGCTAGTATCAACCACTGCTGTAACAATTGTGTGCCAACAAATGTTAAGTACTGAAGCTTTATCTTAAACAGACTTAATTGTATTAAAACAGAAACATATGACCATAGTTTTTTCAGGGTCATTTTTAGAAAATAAAATATATGATTGCTTATATGGTACTGTAACTCAGTAAAAGGGACCAGCAATAAAATAATTAAGTATTACTCCCAATCTTACACTGATTGGAATAAGTCACTGATTAAATGTTTTCTGCGTCAAAATTTCTCTGGATTAAATATGACAAAAATAAAAGATGAGTCATCATCAAACTAATGCCAGGATAGATTCAAACTCTGAACTGTTAATACTGCTTTATGTAATTAAAAAACTGATTAATAATTTATTTTAATTGAAAAAGGTTATAATAAATCACTATAAACTGACTGTTGGGTAACATAAATAATTAAATTAACTTTGAAAATTTTTGTAATAAAAAATGAAATCTTTATTATACATGTAACAGGAACCAATACTTTACTTATTTTATTTACATTTTAATACACAGACTAAGATGTTTTGTAAGCTTATACAACAATTGGTACTGCAATGAGATTTAAGTTAATGAAATATATGAAAAACAATGAAGCATTATTTTATTCTTTGAAGTATTTTTTACATTGGTTTATTTTAAATGTGAACATTCATTGTTGGCTGAATATAGAACTAAAAAATAATGTTGAGAGATAACCCATTTAAATAGTAATATCAGGAACAATGATGTTCTTAGTACATGGCACTGTTCACTTGGCTGACTAGGGACTTTAATTAAATTGTCTCCCAATTTTAGCAATACATTTGAAATTTTGCAATGTAGGAATCAATTTTAAATACTACATTTAAAAAAATAAAGAGTTGAAAACACTGCATTGACTTGAATTATAAAACACAGGCACTTTGTTATTCAATATACAAGACTAGCTGGTCAACATTTATGTAACACTCCACACACATTTTGAATGAAGAAGAATTAAGTATTTAAAAAATAACTAACATAAAATATGACTCCATGTATGAAATTACATGTACAATTGGAATCATTTAGTTTTATTGTACATACAGATAAGCTGAACTATTTTAATTAAACCAGTAATTTCTAAAAATTTTCTCTAACAGTATTTGGTATGGAGTGTGAACTCCCCATGAGATAACTTAAACTGCTGGTGTATTCCCACTGAAGACACATATTGCACAACACCCTCCACTGTCTCAATATTTTTTAGCAGCTTATTGATTTCACTGTTCTACAAACCATGTTTTGTTCTTGCTAAATACTAAGTCTACAACTACACTATTATCAATAATTTCAAAACACATTCGCAAAACATTCTTAGATATATTTTTCAACATTTTAAATGCAGTCATTATTTATATTAAAATGTTTTTAAAATTTTCTTTACTAAAATAAAAAAAAAAACAAACAACAACAAACAAATGAAAGCTACAAATCTGATGAAAATACAGGATCATGTCTAGGTTAGGTCACTCCTAGTGGCCAGTCTTACATAAAGTCTGATTGAATTATCATTGTTAGTAAACTCATCTCTTGGAGAACTTTAAATCACAGATTAGAAAAGAACAAAAAAAAAAGGATGAACAAGAATATGCTCAGTAGCAACAGCTGGGTGCCACGAATTCCTGTGAGACAAGTTTGTTATGTGATACCATGTGGATTCATGAGGCCTAACCACCAGCTATCTACACCTACATTCAACTTTAGTACAGACTTTAGCAATTTACAAAAGAAAATGTTTCTTCTCTATATTCCTATAGGTGATGTGCATGTCAAATATAAGAAAAAATATTTAGTGCATAATTAAACACAAACTTGTTCAGTAAGTGAATCCAGATTCATGGAGGGCTACAAGTTATGTGTGAAGTCTTACCAGCCTAATGTGAAGTGCTTGTACATACTCCTCTCATCAAGTATTACCAGCTTCATGTGCTAGCTTCAAGTGCTACCAGCAACATACACTAGCACATACTCTCCTCATCAAGTGCTACCAGCAACATGCACTAGCACATACTCTCCTCATCAAGTGCTACCAGCAACTTGCACTAGCACAAACTATCCTTATCAAGTGCTACCAGCAACATGCACTAGCACATACTCTCCTCATCAAGTGCTACCAGCAACATGCACTAGCACATACTCTCCTCATCAAGTGCTACCAGCAACATGCACTAGCACATACTCTCCTCATCAAGTGCTACCAGCAACATGCACTAGCACATACTCTCCTCATCAAGTGCTATCAACTTCATATCTCTGTTCTCTAGCTCCAGGGTCAGCTGTTGGACCTCTGTCTCCAGCGCAGAGTTCTTGCGCTGCATCTGCACGTAGTTGAGCTGGAGCTGCTTCTGATAGCGGACAACTTTGTTCTTCTCATCCAGCCACTGCTCCCTCTCCTTCTCATGCTCCTGCTTTAGTGCGCTCACCTGCGCCTTGATCTCCTGCAGCTCCTCCTGCAGGCTGTTGATTGTCCTGTCCCTCTCCCCAAGCATTGTGGGTTTCATATTTTCTAAAGGCGCTACCTCGCTGGGAACGTGAGTCTGAGTTGACGCCTCTAAAAACACGGGTGGGTTTTTCAACCTGGTCAGCTCGTCCTTCAGAGACTTCAGCTGTTCCGACTTGGATGCCACGTCACGCACTTTCTCAGCCACCTCTTTGTTTTTCTTCTCCATGTCTGCTTCAAAGTTGTGCAGCTGTGACTTCAACGTGATCAGTTCTTTGTTTTTTAAAGCCAGCTCCTCCATTAGAGATTGGTTCTCTAAACTGCTGGAGCTGGAACTACCCGACTTTGTCAGGGTGCTGGCACCAGCTGCTTCAAGGGCAGCAACTTTTGACTGCAGCTCTTGTATTTCTGATTGATTTTCTTCCACTTGCTGTCGTAGCAGCTCCTTCTCATTTGTGATTTTCTGGTTCTCCTCCAGCAGAGTTTTCTGCTCTTGCTGGAGCTTGTAAACCTGAAGGGACAGAACCTGCTCTGTTTTGTATGACTTGCGGCTTTGGATTTTCAGCTTTCTTTCATACTCATCTCGAAGTTCCTGAGTGTCTTGAAGCCAGACGTGGCGTCTTTCTTCGTACACCTGAAATATTGCACGCTCATTTCTGTCCATGACTTCTCTTAAAGTGTTTATTTCAGCGTCTTTTTCCCGCAGTATAGCCTCGAGTTCTCCCACCCCGCTGTCACTGGGAGAAGGTGTCTGCAGCACACCTTCCACTGTGTGTGACGAGACCCTGCTTGTGTTGATGGAGGGCACAGACTCAGGCCTGTCTGAGGCACGGGTCAACTCATTAGAAAAGCTGGTGTCCTCTGCACTGGACAAGTGGGAGGAGTTAGCCGAGAGGTGGGAGGAGTTAGCCGACATGTTGTGTTGGGAGTTGGCAGGGATATTGCTGTAGGAGTTGGATGAAATATTATGGTAAGATCCCGAGGAGGAATTGTGTTGAGAACCACTGTGAGAACTGTTGACACTGGAAGGGTGGGATGTTGGGTAGTGGTGGTCAGGGCCATAGTGGTGGCCCTGTTGGCCAGGGCTGGCATGGTGGCCCTGTTGGCCAGGGCTGGCATGGTGTTGGCTCTTGGCCATGGAGTTGAAGGCCCCAGGGTTGGTCTTGCTTGTCTGGGAGTCGGGGCTGCTCCTGACCCCTAGCATGCTGACCCCCAGCTTCATGGCATTGGGTCTGGTCATTTCTTGAGAGCTGGCAAGGTGCTCATCTAGCCCTGATGTTCTCCTGTTTGACTGGCCCACTGGACTCACTTGCACCGGTTTAAAAGCTATAGGCTTGATCAGGTTTGGCCCAGGTTTCTGGAACAAACACAAACATTTATTTATTAAATTACCTTTTTAATTTACATCAAGCAAGAAAAAAGTTCACTGAAGAGAAAAACAAATCCAGAAATACTAGTAGAGTAAGCAAACAGCCACCATAACTAAAGGGAAAAAAAACCCAATGTATTAGACATGAAAGATCAGATAAGGAAAACTACACAACTATAGATAAAACAACAATCAGCACATCAAAACACCAGCATGTAATAGTGTTGATAATCTATGTATTAAATGTTGAATTGTAATAAGAGGAAGCTAGTCAAGTAACTAGTTATTGTAGGTGTAAATTAAGCCTTAGGACTCCTACCTGTAAACACCACAAGTCAATACAACTAGTTTCTATTATTGAGTGCAAAAGATTAGACAAAACCCTGCCAATGGCTGAAACACCTGTGTTTGTTATGGCCAGGTACAACAGATAAGACCATCCTACCTGTGGAGGCTATTGTATCGTCTGCTGGCTCGATGAAAAGATCACAGATTGGACCAGATAGGTAACCACTAGTGAACAAGCTAAGTCAGGTAGATACTCGCTCGGTCAAACGGGAGGGGGGGTGGGGGGAACAACAGACTAAAGGTCACGTGAATAAAACAAATCTGGTGTCTAGGTGGAAAGAAGTAAGAAAAAAAACGCCGTTCCCCTGTCCACCCTCTTTTAAAAAAAAATGTTTTATTTGTTCAACATGAATAAACGATAGGCCTACATTTAAAAAAAAAGTTTCAATATTGTTTCGTGTAGCCTACGACATATTTTAAAGTTCGAAACTATGTAGACCGCAGCAAGGTAAGAAATTATTTACCATCTTGAGTTGGATTCGACGTGTTGTTTAGTTTTTTTAAGGCTAATGGTCATTTTTAGTAAACACAACGGTCATCTGTTGCTGTGGTCATCAGCGTACAGCTACACAGCTATCGTTGGGTGCCACGGGTCTTGTTAGATATTAATAGATTGTGTCAGCTGAGTCTACGTCTCGGTCAGTGCTCAGGATAATATAACAATTGGATAAGCCATTTAGTCAGACAGTGGACAACCCGTTTTGTACGTGTAGACAGTGGACAACCCGTCTTGTTAATGTAAACAATGGACCAGAGGCGTAGCGAGGGGGGGGGGAAGACATATGTCCCAGGGCGCCGACCTTAGGGGGTGCCAAAATTGAAAGTTTGAGGGGGGGGTGTGCAAATCGAAAGTTTGAGGGGGGGGGTGTGCAAATCGAAAGTTTGTCCCCGGGCGCCGGGAAGGGTCTCTACGCCTCTGCGATGGACAACCCGTTTTGTCAGTACAGACAGTGGACAACCCTTTAGTCCGTTTAGACACTAGACAACCCGTTTTGTCAGTGTAGACATCACATATGGACAAGTCCAGAAAGTATTTACAAGGACAGCTAATCGCGGCAGGACGTGCTCTATAAAGAATGCTTTGACGTGTTGACGGCCACTGTGGACCAAACCAGCAGGCTGGTGGGGGGGGGGGGGGGTATATTGAGGAGCAAGCCATGTGTCAACACGCTATGATAGTTAACAATAGCCAAGCGTGGATGCTTACATGTGGACCCAGCGAGATGGTTATATTAGCATATCAGAGACCAACGTTGGAGTATTGTAGCTTTTTCTTCCCCCTTCATAATTGATATATACGAGGGCATTTCCTTAAATATAATGAAGTCACACGTGACAACAAGTTATGCGCCATATCTGGTCTGTGGATTCCCGATTTCAGCCTGCTTTTCTTTTTGGATTAGCGTCAATAGCCTTTGTCCAACCAAGAACAAACTACACGGCAGCAGTGGTTTAATTTTGACGTTTTCTCTCTCAGATGGGTTGCTGTCCTCAGATAACGTGCCTCATCTCCCCGAGGGTCCGGTCTCGGGACAGGGTTAGCAACCGTACGCTCCCCAACCCCCTCCACACCCCCAATATTCGAGTGTGGTTGGATGAAAGAGCGAACTTTATTGCTCATACTATCCCCGAGGCCAGACCCAGATCTAAAACAAACGAGTGTTTTGAGCGACACCCATGCCCGACGACACCATCTTTAATTTAACCAAGTACCAAATGGCCACCCTGCCTGACATATGGGACGGGGGAGCAAACTTAACGACTCATACTTGACGAATACCAGAGGCCAAGCCTTGTCATAAAATATATTAAACCAGTCCTTTGGTCATCAGTTTAGCGACCACATACCAACTGGCCGTCCTGAATGACATTTTCCAAACTACACTTGCATTCATCCATCACTAGACCTACGGGTCCTCTGACCAGCGGTCACACAACTCTAATTAACACACGCTCAGACGTAACGGATAAACGGCGAGTGGACGAGGGAAAAGAGCCGCTGCAATAAATGACCATTCTAAGGCAGGGTCGACTTCAAAAGACCAAACCTCCCTATTCATGCGCTCCTAGCGTGTTTGACCAAGGCTCTGGTTGACTGCTGAGGTCAGCGCCGCCCTGAGAGTAATCCCATTGAATTGTCCCAGTAATCCCATTGAATTGTCCCAGTAATCCCATTGAATTGTCCGCACAACTGAGCTGACGCACTCGACTCGTACACCGGCATTCATGTACCGCTGCACATCAAAGTCGGCGCCGACACGGGCGTTACAAATGGTTGGGTCACCAGCAGCCACCGTGGGAGGCGCCACTCCTGACGGCGACTGACCAGCAGCGGCAATCAACGGCCGGTTGTCTGTGGCCACCCGCCCGAGCAATCAAACGGTCAGCAGACTAAAGAGCAGCAATCAAACGGTCAGCAGACTAAAGAGCAGCAGTAATCAACAGGAAATGTCAAGGACGACGATATAATTCTATACACATTAAAGAATCGGACAGGTCTTAAATTTCCATTGCAGACCCCTTCCCCTTGGTAATCAAGTCCACTGATCCAGTTACATTTCAGGTAAGGTATAGGGTACCCTTTACAAGTCAGGTAAATAGAGGGAGGGGTCGAATAAAACTACCCCCCCCCCTCCTCCCCCCCCCCCACCTGTTTCAGCTGGTAAAGAGATGACGTAGTACAAACATCAAGACGTATCTCAGCTGTTGACGCCCTGTGTGTATACAAATATTTCACGGAATTTTGCCAGCCTTAACACCTGTCCAGGGAGGTAACTTCATTAACGGGAGGTCAGCGCAGAAACACACCAGCAAAACATTAAACATTGCTCATTTACAGTCATCTTTTAGAGAATCGTTCGGATTTTGGCTTAAAAAACTTTATACAAGACATTTATTATCAGCAAATGGAGTTATGTTTATAAAGAGATCATAATAAAAACTGGTATTAATTTTATGATAGTAGACATAAATAAAGTTAATTTTAAATATCAACTGGTGACCGTATTTTGTTCCCTAGCCCCCCCCCCCTTACACATACACACGCACACACACCTAACCCCCACATGGACGAACCAAACAACGACGCTCGCGAGGCAAACACTCCAGTGTTGTTTAAAATAGGAACTCCGGGCTGATGTCAGCGAAACGAAAAGTTCATACAAAACTTGCGCTGTCAGAAGTCAGAGACTCAGTGTGTGTGTTTTTGTATCTGTGTTTTGTGTATCTTTGCATGCGTGAGTGTGCGTGTGTAGCAATGAAGGAAATCAGGTTATACTCAAATGTCAGTGTTCAAAGTAAGTTTAAAAACCTTGAAAAGTGAAGAAAAACACACACAAGTTCAGGTTTCACCAACATAATGGGGTTTGCATAAAGAAAGGGAAGAGCTATAGGGCTATGGTCAATGTTTCACCCTTATATTACGGAGACATCAGCTTGGTTAAAACATTATATTTTTGTTTACTACGCTAGAAGCAAAGATAACAGCTGTAATATACCATAGAGTATAAGAAATGTAGCTTCTACCTCGGAGAAACTTTTAGAGATTAAGTGCATCAAGTGCATAGTAGCTTTATATACGTAACCCCTCTCCCATCTTTCTGAATACATTGTATTATTATTCACATTGCTTACAGTATGTGACCCTGACAGCCCATGTATAACTGTGCTGTAACCTGCCCATGACCTTGTATGTGCTTACAGTATGTGACCCTGACAGCCCATATATAACTGTTTTGTAAGCTGCCCATGACCTTGTATGTGCTTACAGTATGTGACCTAGACAGCCGATGTATTACTGTTTTGTAACCTGCCCATGACCTTGTATGTGCTTACAGTATGTGACCTTGACAGTCCATATATAACTGTGCTGTAACCTGCCCATGACCTTGTATGTGCTTATAGTATGTGACCCTGACAGCCCATATAAAACTGTGCTGTAAGCTGCCCATGACCTTGTATGTGCTTATAGTATGTGACCCTGACAGCCCATATATAACTGTGCCGTAACCTGCCCTTAGCCCTGCCGCCGGCGGGAAACACTAGACGACAGACGAGATAATGAAGCCGTCCGTATCCACGTCCGGTCAATCAAGCTGGACGTGTGACGCATCATTGCTGACCGCTAGACTGCGCGTAATCCCGCTGACCGGAGGCGATCGGAAACCAGGATAAGAGCGACAAGACGGCAATAACCGGCGCGATAGTCCCGGCAAAAAGCTGCCACAAACTAGGCTGGTGGACAACAATTTGTTACGGTCTTTGTGTGGGGAAAGGTCGGTGAATGGGGGAGATCGGGCCGCGAACATTAACACAAGCTGAGACAAGTTGATAGCCAAATAATAACCCTGGGCCGCTGACTTATTTCAGCAAACAACCCCGCTCTCGTGGACCTGCAATGGTCACTGGAGAAAGCAGTGAATCTTTGGTCCATAAAAAGTCGCGGGACTGGTGGGGCAAAGTTGAAACGGCGAAAGTGAACGTAGTTGGTCATTCAAAGAGTGGACAACGGCTGGTCGTTAGAAGCGATGCTGACAAAGGTTTCATTTTGGCTTTGAGAACATAGGTTGGTCAACTAGATGGTTGTAGGCTAATTAAACAGTTGGGGGTAAGGCTGTTGGTGGGGCCGTTCTTTCTTTGAT